CGCGAGACGCTGACCTACGCGCAGGCTCAGCGCCTCGTCGAGGTGGACATCGACGGGCGCCTGCACCGCATCAACATCTTCGACCCGCTCGAGATCATCTCCGAGGACGACCTGACGGCGCAGGAGCTGTCCGAGTGCAACAGCAACAAGGAGAACACCGAGCAGCACCAGCAGCAGCAGCAGGCCCCGCCACCCACCCCGGCCAAGCCGAGCCGCCACAAGGACAAGCAGCGCAAGGACGGAGCCGGCGCCCAGCATGGCCACGGCGGCGGCGGAGGCGGTGGAGGCGGCGGCGGTCCCACGGGTGGAGGAGGAGGAGGAGGCGGTGGTGGTGGAGGCGGCGGCCCGTCGGGCAAGCTGCCCGAGGCGTCGTTCCGCCTGCTGGACCACGAGACGCCGGATGCGCCGCCGCGCACGCCCGCCTACTACCGCTACATCGAGAAGTCGGCGGACGAGCTGGACGAGGAGGTGGAGTACGACATGGACGAGGAGGACTACGCGTGGCTGGACATGATGAACGATAAGCGCAAGGCGGGCGGCGCGAGCGCCGTGTCGCAGGAGGCCTTCGAGCTGCTCATGGACCGCTTCGAGAAGGAGTCGTACTTCGAGAGCCGCAACAAGGGCGGGCCGCACGCCCTCATCGACGAGGACGCCGTCTGCTGCATCTGCAACGACGGCGAGTGCCAGAACAGCAACGTGATCCTCTTCTGCGACATGTGCAACCTGGCGGTGCACCAGGAGTGCTACGGGGTGCCCTACATCCCCGAGGGCCAGTGGCTGTGCCGCCGCTGCCTGCAGTCGCCCTCGCGGGCCGTGGACTGCGCGCTGTGCCCCAACAAGGGCGGCGCCTTCAAGCAGACGGACGATGGGCGCTGGGCGCACGTGGTGTGCGCACTGTGGATCCCCGAGGTGTGCTTCGCCAACACCGTCTTCCTGGAGCCCATCGACAGCATCGACAACATCCCGCCGGCGCGCTGGAAGCTCACGTGCTACATCTGCAAGCAGCGCGGTTCTGGCGCCTGCATCCAGTGCCACAAGGCCAACTGCTACACGGCCTTCCACGTGACGTGCGCCCAGCAGGCGGGACTCTACATGAAGATGGAGCCCGTGCGCGAGACGGGCAACGCCGCATCCTCCTCCTCGTCCGCCTCGGCGGCGGCGGCGGCTTCGGCGGGGGCCGCGGGGGGTTCGAGCTCGTCGGCTGCCGCGGCGGCCGCGGCTGCGGCGGCAGCAGCAGCGGCCGCCTCCGGCGTGGCGGGTTCGTCGTCGTCGTCGGCGGCCGCGTCGTTCAGCGTGCGCAAGACCGCCTACTGCGACGTGCACACGCCGCCGGGCTCGGTGCGCCGGCCGCTGTTGCTGTCGAGCGAGCCCGAGGAGGAGGAGGAGGAGGAAGAGGAGGAGGAGGAGAAGAAGGGCGCCTCGGCGGCGAGCAGCGAGAAGGCCAAGAAGGCGAAAGCCAAGTCGCGGCAGAAGATGAAGAAGGCGCGCAAGATCCTGGCCGAGAAGCGCGCCGCCGTGCCCGTGGTGTCGGTGCCCTGCATCCCCCCGCAGAGGTGCGTGGCCAGAACCCCCCCCCCCGGGGGTTGTGGGGAGCTTGGCGCCGGTGGTGGGTGGGAGCCCGCGGGATAGCTACGAGGTCGGGGTGATGGGACGAGGGAGCGAATTTGGCCGAGCGACGGGGGTCGCGTGTTGTGGGGGGGGGCTCATTCACCCGGCAGGATGAGGAGGGCCGCAGCGCTTGTGTCGTAGTGTAGTGGTCTACACGAGGTCGGTGCGTGAACACAACACGTGTGACTTTTGTGCAATGTTTTTTAAACGGGTAACTCGGAGGTGATTTAAAGTGCAGCCGGTCTTGACAGACAACAGCGCCCTGAAGTCGCCGCCACGTTTAACAATGGCGCGTTTCGGGTGTTTAGTAAAGTCACAAGTGGTTATTGCTGCTGCTGTGTTAGTGGGTTCTGTGGGCGTGCTCCGCTCGAATTCATTGTCAGTGTGATATCGCCTGCAAAGTGCCTCACTTCGTGAGAGAGGAAAGTTACCGGGCAAGTCTCGTGTGTTAAGTGCTGCTGCTGCTGCGACACGCAACTGTTGTCGCTGTAAAGTTGTAAGCTGATCCCGCGGGCGAACGAGAGAGGCAGCTGCTATCGGAGCGCCTCAGCACCCCCCGCACCACGCCAGGTGTTGGGTGGCCCCGAGCAAGGAGGCCCCCCGCAGCTGTTGTGGCGGCGGCGGCGGCGGCAGCGGCGGCTCTGTTTGCCTCCTTGGGCTTTGTGTGGGGGGGGGAGCTGCCTGCCTGCCTGGCGGTGGCCATTGTCTGTTGTTTAGCGGAGGGGCGGCTTGTCGGCGAGCGAGCGAGTTTCGTGTGTGTCGACACACAACAACGCCTTGGCCTCGGCACGGAAGTAGCGTAGCAAGCCCCGGGGCGCGCAGTGGGATTGACCCCAAAAGGCGTGCGTGTGTGTGTGTGCGCTCACATGGCGTCTTGTTGGCCACTCACCCCCACCCCTCGTGTGCCTTGTGGGCCTGAATAGGTGGTCGCAGACAGCACTTGGCCCAACAGTCTGTTTTAAAAAAGCTATGTGGAGAATATTTATGTACATGGCACGCGTGGCGCCTTCTGGCCGTGGGCCCAGAGGCGACCCCGGACCCGTGTCCCCCTCACACTACCAACTGGGAGCATTCCCCTCCCAGCTGCGGCATAAATCATCCGTGGAAGAGACGTAAGGACAACATTGAGGTTTTTCGTTAAGCATTTTGGAACATCCGGCAGTGTTCGACAGGAAAGCCAGCTGTGTTGAGCTGATAGGAAGAATCTGATGCGAGACAGAAACGTGAGCTCTTGTGGCTTTAGTTGGGTGCAACCCAGAGAATTACAGTTGTTTTGCAAACGATAGTAGTAGCGTTTTAGGGTAACACCTTTGGTTATGGGCATTATTGCATCCATGGCTTAAATTCAGCCAGGTCTGCCTGCGTCAGCAACCCAGAAAAATAGTTCCCGCACCCAGCACACCACATCCAGTATTCATCCTGCCATGACTAGCTGCTAGTCACTTTACGTACCACTTTCTTGTGGTGACTTAAAACATTCAGTGAGAAATCAATCAATCAATCAATGATTGAAGATGTTGTTGTTTTAGACAGTTGCAATGTTGACGAGTTATAGGGAACGGGTGTGCTTGCATTTTGTATACTTAGCTCGATGTCGTAATTATCAGTGTTGTTGCATTCCTCGTTGGCTGCTGATGCTATTTCCACAGAGAGATTAGGCAGGCTTGGGGAGGGAAGAGTTATTGCCACAGAACATGTTTGGGAAATATGGTGGAGTGAGCATTGTAGCACCACATTTTCCGATATGAGGCCGTATCCAACCCTAACGTGCTACCAAAATATATTATATCCACAGTAGGAAACGTTAACAGCATTATTTGGAGAGACTCGGTGAACAGTATTAAGTGTGGCTGTTGAGGCTGTTTTTGCACGTCAGGTTCTCGTTGAGAAAGCATTCAATTGTTCCCCCCAGTGGACGGCAAACATCACAGGTGTAAAGGTGGCTGTTTACACAGGCAGCACTGCAAACAAACTTACTCTGGACTCGCCCTTTGAGATTTTGTACAGTGGTGTCGAGGTTGTTAATGGGTTGTCGTTATCCATGTTCACGATAGCCGACTGGCAAAATGTAGCCGTACCTGTAATATTTGTTTTTTATGACTTTACTTTTTGGCCGTGACGTAACTAATTCAGCCTTGTCGAACCAGGTAAATATTTGAAAAAATGGACATGTTCAAATGGACCATGTTGTTTTGCTTTGACAGCCAGAGTGGTCACTGCTGTATTTATGTATGTGTTAATGATTGAAGTTGGCCGTGGTGTAGTAATGGTTAGCACTGTTGGTCACCAGTTCAATCTCCTAGCTTGACAGTTGAAACATTGGGAAAGTTTATGACATCTGTCACCCAGTAGTAGAAATGGGTACGCGTTGTGTGTGGTGTGGTGAAGTGTGAGTACTGTACCTTCACCTACAGACGTATGGACCACGTGAAAGAGTAGGTCATGAGACCCTCTAGATGGGTTCTCTCGAGCTCTCTCTGGTGGACACCTTTCTGCCAGCAGTGGTGCGTTCCGGAAATTGTAGGGCTGCACGTTTACCTTCTGTTCATGTACTTAATGCCTCCTATTGACACACAGTTAGACTGTGTGCGTGCTCGTATAAGGTTGTTTTGCATGGTCGTGTGCGCTTGACCATAAACCGGATTTGGTGGCAGCTCAGACACACGGTCGTGCCAAATACCCTAACCCTCTATCATGTGACCGCAGGCTGAAGAAGATAGTGAGCCGGGTAACGATGCAGAGGAAGAAGGAGTTCATGACGAGGTTGCAGAGCTACTGGACGCTGAAGAGGCAGTCGAGGAACGGCGTGCCCCTGCTGAGGAGGCTGCAGTCGCACTTGCAGTCCCAGCGGAGCGCCGAGCAGGTGAGCGCTCGCGCCGTGTTTGCCCGCAGCGGGCGCTCCTCTGGGAACGTCTTGTTTGTGTCGGCCGCACGAGCTGTGCAATTTTGATTACAGGTTCCGAACGTTTATAATTGTGGTTGCGTGGGCTGTTGCCGCTGTGCTCTGCAGCTCTCAGATGTGATTCTCGGGTTGTACCGCATGTTCGGGCGTGATGTCCAACGTTTCGCTGCACGTGCCAGAAGCTTCTTTAGAAGCAAGCTGCTTCTAAATACACATTTAAGTAACCGTGCATGAAATTATTCTATCTACCCAGCCCAGCGAATAGTTGTCTTGGCGTCAGAGTTTATATTTGAACCTTTTTTTTGGTCTGCTTTGTAGTTTTACCAAAGCGTTTGCTTCTAATTTGAAAACAAATATAATTCAGTTTTCACCTACACAAGTAAATCTATTGATCCTCGGCATGGGAATGTATTTTAATTGACAAATCAATGCATTATACTCTTAGTTTTTTCAGTAAAGTTACCATGTAGGTAAAAAATGAAATTTAAATTAATAAAAATAAAATAATAATCACGACGTTTCGGAGGCAACACAAGTCTCCGTCATAAGGTGGGACCGTCACAGCCAGATTTGCTGTATCAACTGATATCAAATGATGTATCAACTGATATCAAATGATACAGCAAATCTGGCTGTGACGGTCCCACCTGATGACGGAGACTTGTGTTGCCTCCGAAACGTCGTGATTTTTATTACTTTATTTGTATTAATTTTAATTTAATTTTTTACCTACGTGACTTTACCGAAAAAACTAAGAGTATGAATCCTTGCAGTCACGAAAGCTTCAAATCTAGAATAAATAAATGCATTGTTACATTACTCAAAGTAAGCAAAGAGATGTCAGTTAATAATGAAAGATGCGGCCTTCGAGGACTTACTTTACATGTCGACAAACTTGTTTTTTGTTGGCAGCGGGAGAACGACGAGAAGAACAGCGCCCTGAAGGAGCAGCTCAAGTACTGGCAGAGGCTGCGGCAAGACCTGGAGCGCGCGCGTCTGCTCATCGAGCTCATCCGCAAGCGAGAGAAACTCAAGCGGGAACAGGTGCGGCTCTCAGCGGGGACGTGTGCATGCAGACGCACTTGGTTACACGAGTAGTGGTTTCTGCTGGCTTGACTGATGGGGATGTGTGTTTTAACCCCCCCCCCCCTCCCCCTTGGTTGGGTTTAGGAAGCTCAAATTTTGTTGACTGAGTGGCATGTTTGCCATGCTCTGGGATTCATTTCTTGAAAAAAAATGTTCATGTCACTGGTAGATTGGAGTAGACAAGTAGCTTGTTGCTAGAGCCATAGCGATGAGAGTTATATTGGATATGGTGTGCCCAGGGCTTATCTTTTCTCTGAATATGTTTCAGCTCACTTGTACACTGGAATAGGCATGTTACTTGTAGCCATAGCAATATGTGTAATGGATGTGGTATGCTTGGTGTGGAAATATTTTCAGGGACACGGACCAGGCTGAAATTAAGCTCTGTCCTTGCTTTGTTTACGAACTATGAGTTAATTATTTATTGCATTTATATGTTGTGTGCATCATTAGACATAGTGCCCATATGTTTACACTCCTCGCCCATTGAGCCTGGCTGCACATAACACACACGCATTGATGCAGTGTACTCGGTTTATGCTTCTCGTACAACGCAGAGGTGTTAACCTGGGCCCTCGGTGCATTGCTTTTGCTGCTGCCACAGATCAAGGTGCAGCAGGCGGTGCTGGAGATGCAGCTGACGCCCTTCCTGGTCCTGCTGCGGAGGTCACTTGAACAGCTGCAGGAGAGGGACACCAACAACATCTTTGCTGAGCCCGTGTCCATAGAGGAGGTGAGCTTCAGTTCTTGTATGAGCCTCGTCACCACGCTTTGCATGTTAGTACAAAATTACTGTCGTAATGGAGCTCTTGAACTAAGTAGTGTCTTCATTTAATATATTTAACCGTGATTGGTTAAAATAATTACTTGTTTATCCAGGAAAGCTACACTGAAGTCCACTGACTCTTTCAGGAGGGTCTTGCATTAGGATTTTATTTTAAGATGTCTCCAGCCAATTTCTGAGTGTTTATACTTGCTGGAAACCGGAGCAGCACAGAGAAAACCAACGTACGCGAGGGTACAATACTACTCCGTGCAGATGGAAACAGATGGAGATTGGTCCATTTGCGTAACTGCCTTCTAACATGCCAGGGTATGGCACCTCTACGGCCATGGGAAGGAAGTTTCCAAACATTTGTGTGATACACCAACCTTTGCCTCCTCAGTGCTGGATTAAAGGCGTGCGCCACCAGCAGGCTAAAATATTGTTGTGAAAGTCAATTTTCTCTTTGGTTCTTTCTGTAAAGTCATGTAGAAAGAAAATAAATTAAACAATAGAATACGACATTTCGATTGCAACACAAGCAGTCGTCATCAGGTATAACTAAATTTGAGAGAGAGACAAAACACAGACACGGAGACACACAGACACAAACAGAGAGAGACAACAAGGAGGCACGGGCGGTGGCCAGAAATGGCGCCAAACAATTTCCCAAGCTCTGTTGTTTAATATTGGGATGTCTGGCCAACTCGATTAATGAATGTGGAAGGAAACCGGAGTACCTGGAGAAAACCCACAGGAAAAACCAAGTAATTGTCATCATCATTGTGTTTTTATTTGAGGTCCCGGATTACCTGGACTACATCAAGAAGCCCATGGACTTCTCGGGCATGCGGGCGCGCATGGAGGCGCACGGCTACTGCACGCTGGACGATTTTGAGAACGACTTCGACCTGATCGTGGCAAACTGCATGCAGTACAACAGCAAGGACACCATCTTCTACAAGGCGGCCGTGCGGCTACGCGACCAGGGCGGTGCCATCCTGCGGCAGGCCCGGCGGCAGGCCGAGAAGATTGGCTTCGACTACGCCACTGGCATGCACCTGCCCACGGCACCGCTGTTCATCGAGCCGCCCGTGCTCAAGTGGGAGGAAGGTGCGATGCCGGCCATAGCAGTCGTTTTGAACACTTTTCAATGAAGGTTAACAGCCTTGAAAGCATTAGCTCCGTCGCTCTGTAGCGGGGGAGTCATTTCTTTACAATAGCTTTTTCCATTTAGTTTGTCCTTCCCCCGCGCACCTCCGATAGCACGGTTGGTTACGTGCCGTGCGAAAGAAGTTCAACATATGGGGGAGTCGCGATAACTCCTGTAAAGGTGATCCAATATAAATTTCATTTTTGTATAAAATTGTGTTCCTATAACGGTCATATTGATCAAAGAGTTATCCAAAACCTGGTCACTCTTTGATCAGAGAGGAATATGATCACTCTTGCAGGTTACACACGACAGTTGCCTTTCTTTAACCAGGTGAGAACTCAAAAGAGAAAAGGATAAGTGTCGTTTTCAATGAAGCTCTCCTCATTTGCAATTAGACTGGATCAACAAAATGATAAGAACAACTAATTAAATAAGCTACGGCAATGGTGCAAATATAAATCGTAACCAAATGTTGCACCAATGTAAATCATGCTTAAATGATCAATTTCCTGAAGTGTAAGTTGGCTCGGACAGAATTTTGCTTAGACTTATCAGAGTACAATTCTAGATGAAGCTACAGAACTATTCAACCATTAAGTAGCCCCTGTACACACATATACAGTTCGTGCACGTTGAGTTCCTTCCAAATCTACTTCTGGATTAGGGTCTTCCCATGCAGTGCCGTTTATAGTGGCTTGTTTGACCATACTTCACCACGCTGGTTGGTGCGGATTTGTGTAAGACCGCGGTGTGAATGGAGTGTGGATGTTGTCGCTTCCGTTAGGGGTGGAGGCACACAAAGGTGCGCCTTTGTTTTGACGTGCGCTCGTACTCGTGTGCCGCTAGAGCTGGCTCGATTTGTCGGTCAAGTCAATTCACCACCGAAATAAAAGTTGTAATCGACTACTTTTTTGTGATCGATTACTTTTAAAAATGGTGGCGGCCCCCATATCCTGCCTCCCTAAGGCGGGAAACCCCCTAGGAGCCACTCCCTGCGTGACGCGGCTGATAATGCTGGTGACTTGGCCAAGCCTCGCCCATCACCTCCCGTCCAGCGGTACACGCCGGAACAGGTGAGGCTTATTTACCAGCTGTGTTCAAGCTGTCCAATTCATTCAACGGGACTGATAGTCGGTGGAGTAATTAATCACATAAATGGATTACCCAGCTCTGTGTGCCACTGTGCACTGGTGTACGGAAGTGCGAATGCGTTACAAAGTGTGTGGCCGCATACACGAGCATCGCTGCGTGCGCGTGCGTTGCAACGTGCGTGGGCGCCACTGCATGGGTATGTTACTGCGTGTGACCACGCGTGCGTGCACCACAGCGTGCGCTACAGCGTGTTGCGTGCGCTACAGCGTGTTGCGTGCGCCCATGTGACCGCGTGTGCAGTGGACAACCTGCTGCTGGCGGAGAACCGGGTGCACATGTCGCTGGAGGAGCAGCTGCGGGAGCTGCTCGAAAAGCTGGACTTGACGACGAGCATGCGCCTGGGCGGTGCGCGCTCGCGCCGCGCCAAACTCCTGCGCAAGGAGATAAACGTGGTGCGGCGAAAGATGTCGATACACCACGAGGGCACAAGGCGGGGCAGCAGCGGTAGCAGCGGTGGGGCCCAGCAAAGGAGCAACGGGGAGCTGTGTAGCCTGGTGACGAGGACACGCGCAAACGGCGTTGGCGAGGAGGCGGCCAGCACCGCTGTCGCCACCACGCCGCCGGCCATTGGCGCTGACAGCAACAAAGGTGGGTCAACAAGTGCTGGGCACCAGAAACTGGGCATGTAACGATTAGCCTCGCGAAGCTGTTCAGCCCTTGAAAAAGAGCTTCTTTGCTCAATAGGCTTTACTCAGGAAATAAACTTCTGATTCAAGTTATGGTTTGGGGGTCATGGTTAAATTCTAGAGTTGGTGATGTGTTTGTATTGTGTTGAATGTGGAACCTGCTTTGGATTGCAGGAGTCACATGAACCCGCTAAAAAAATGTAAATTTTTTTCACCATTCGATGCATGGATCCTGAGTATATGTTCATTATAATCTATGCATGCAGTGCTTTATAGCAACTCAGACGACATATCCAGATGGACATTCTACGTGGTAAACATTAATGAATAGTAGTGGGTTGCTGTAAGTTATGCTGAGAATGTGAATGCCCAATGAAATCGATTGTACATCTATTAATAATCAGTCAAAGGTGGAGAAAACAAGGTCTTGAGTTTGGAATTGAAAAAGGGATAACAAGTCAACAAGACTGATGGCAGGGGGAAGGGAGTTGGGGGGCAGCATTATAGAATTTCCCAACTCCCACTGAGCAAAGGTCGATCCGGTGCTTTGTTAGAAAGCTTTGGTTTATGAAACGGAGAGCGTGTGGAGTGGATTAGAGTGCCACAGATTTTGTGTTTTGAAAGTGTTTAGTCTGGCCTTGGTGTAGGCAGCTGTGTATGTATGTATGCTGAACTTCTTTTGCACCCTTTGTAACCAACCATGATAATCGGAGGTGCGGGAGAAGGACAACAAACTAAAACTAAGCTGCGGTACGCGACTGGAAGCTTGACCCTGTGCGTCTTGGCTTGCGGCGCGCGCCTTCCCCGCAGACTCGGCGACTTCGCAGTCCTCGCCCGTGTCGGACGTCGGCCGGCGCACTTCAGTGCTCTTCACTCGCAAGTGCCGAGGGGGCACGCGGCGAGGCCCCGGCCGCGCAAGCCGGCACGCGGACCCCGACACGTGCGCAGACGGCGCCGAGGGCGGGCAGGGAGCGGGGGACGCTGCCGCCAACGCCGCCTCCAATGACGTTTCCCCCGCCGCCAACTCCAGGAAGCGCGCGCGCAGCTCCAGCGCATGCTCGGACACGGATGCCGGCGCCACGAGCACACACATGCACAATGGTACGCGGCCGGGCGTGGCGGCGACATCCCAACGAGCACACGCCGCACCCATCACCACTCTGTGTCCGCGTACTCAATCGTTAGACTGAAGTCAGCGTCTGTACAGAGCTACTGATTTTTTTGGGGGCAGTCTTGCAGAGTTGCCTAGGGATGCAGTCGTGCTTGGGCGTGCGGGTCGCGTGTTAATGGCTCTGCAGGCGGGGAGCCGCCGCCACTGTTATTTTTTTGAAGGCCACGGCAGGAGAGCTGACTAGTCGTGCCGTGTCTTGCCACCCCGTGGTTAAGGAACCGTGCAGTGTTGCCGGCCGTCCAGATGATGCCACACTCTCGCACAGGCGCAGGCAGGCCCAGGTGCACCACGGTAAATCGCGCACTCGTCTTCAGTACAAGCGTTCACGCGCAACGATATATACTATACCCACAACACCCGTTTCTAGTTACAGCTGTGTCATTAGAGAAAGGATTGAGAAAGCATGCTGGGACTTTTCATCAAGGCACTCGCTCACTTGCACAACCTGGGCTGAACCTGGTGGTAGTGGTGGTGGTGGTATTATCCTGTTTATCCCTACTGGTTGGATGTTGCTATTGTTGGAACGGAGCTCCACCCGCATGTGGAGACCTGAGGAGGTGGTAACGTTGCCTCAACTGGGGTTGTCCCGTCCACAGGGCTGAGCAATGGCTATGAGAACGGCTCGGATGGCGAGGAGCCGCGCTCTAATCACAGTGAGATGCATCGTCTCTCCTGCGGCTCCGACTCCGACTCTGGCTCAAGCTTCAACAGCAGCGACCACAGCAGGTGAGGGCTTAAATGGTTTCAATCGCCATGTTCACTGCTATCAGTACAGTGCATTGTTCTCCAGGCTGCAGTCATTTAACTTAATTGTACATGCACCAATGTAAATATTCTGTAGTTGTGAGTGACGTGTGTAGACGCGTGCGTTAATGGTGATCGGGCTGAGCATTGTAGGTTGCTCCGGGATAGCACTGCTTGTTGTGTGGCATCCACAAGGCGCAGGCAGGTGCACGCACGCTGTTACTCGAGCCATAGCTAAGTGTGTGTGCGTGTCTGCACAGCGGCTCCGAGAAAAAGAACGGACAAGGAAAGCGGGGACACGGTCCGGACGATGGCACGATAGAAAACGGAGACCTGCCCGCGTTCTCGGACCCAGAGGCGCAGTGTGGACGGGGCAAGAAAGGGCTGGGGAAATCCACAGGTACGTGTGCCATGCGCATCGAGCAACAGAGCAACTTTGGATGTGATTCTTTTGACGTTTCCGTGTGAGTATTGCATAGGTTGTCTCTGATAATATAATGCACTTCTGGTTGAATAGCTTGCCATATGTTATTGCCATTGCATTAGTATACAAGATTGCACAATGATTGTTTTAATTGGTTCATAGAAAAACTGACATTTTTATCATGAGGTGGTCATGCATTGTCAAGTTTGGTCACCATCAATCGCTCTTTATAGTTTGAATGTTTAAACGATTTGGAGTATTTTACAGGAGGACATTCTCACCTCTGCTCATTTGAGCTGGGAGACATTGCATTATATTTTGCAGATTGCCACTGGTGATTTTAGTCGTGTGATAATGCCACGCGTCATTCGTAGACCATTTAAGCGTTAATGGTGTAGGTTGTTTGGTTCTGTAGTAACGTAAACAATCCTCGAAATTGATCTTTGCACCCGTCTTCGCGCCTCCCTCGCTCACAGCTAACCTGAAGGGACCCAACCGGCCGAACATCTGGTTCTCCGAAGACGTTGATACGCCAATGGAACCGCTCGACCTGGTTTGGGCAAAGTGTCGGGGCTACCCATCCTACCCCGCACTGGTGAGGGACAGCTTCATGGCGATACAACACACCGCCAACACTGGCTATCTCAAAAGACACTTCATTGCAGTGTCAGCAGGGTGGTGCAGTGGTAACACTTGTGTCTCACTGCATGCAAGGCCTGAGCTCCGACTCGGATGCCTTTGTGTGGCATTTGTACGTTCTCCCTTTGTTCTGCATAGTTTTCCACCCGTTTCCCTGCCATATCCAGACGTCGCAATGCTGAGATGTTACCTGCAAATTACACAATTGGGATTGCACATAGGAACGTTGCCTACTGCTGTGAAAAACCTGACAGAACCCTCATAACAATATCTTGACTCTACAACGAAACTAGAAACTATTTTTATTTTACCAGATAAGGCCCACTGAGCTCATTTTCAGAAGTGACCTGGCCACAAATGATAGTTCAACGAAGTAGCTTATCATCATGTGGAAATATATACCGGCACCCAAATACTCTAAACGCATGTTTCTAAATGTGGAGGGAATAACTCGAGGACCTGGAGAAAAATCCACACAACCATGGGGAGATACATGCAAACTCTAAACATACAGGTCTCTGGGTCGGGATCGAATTCACGACCTCCTGTATACCAGGCGAGGTAGTTCACATTTCCTGGTTAAACATATAATCATGACTGTCAAAACTACATTACATTAATGGGGAATGAAGGAGTCGCAGCCTAAATATGACTGCGGTGAAGAGCAACCCATCACATCGTTTTGTATATGCAGGTCTGGGTATCTTTGCGAGTCGTACGTTTCTCTGCGAGTCTTAATTTTGACTGCTGTGAAATGTAATCAATCGCACGCATCGCCGATCAATTAGTATCTGTCTTGACACCAGACGCAATAGAATGGCTTGTCGACACCCAACACACACACCAGTTATAAGTACATTTATCGATTTTCAAATTCCTTGTTAACCGCCCCTCGACTTTCTTGCTCGTTGTAGATAATTGACCCGAAGATCCCTCGGGAAGGCTTCTACCACAACAGTGTGCCGATCCCGCTGCCGCCGATGGACGTGCTGACGCTGGGCGAGGCGATGGCGGCTGAGGCTGGGGAGAGTCTCTTCCTGGTGCTGTTTTTTGACAACAAGCGCACCTGGTGAGTTCCCGTGATCGCACGAGCACTCGTCCCATTGCCGATGTGCCCACTTCTCTGATAGTTCAAAGCTTGTGCGTGTACAGCGCTTTGTAAGCCGAATGGTGGATGAGGAATGTGTGGGTCGTGAGATATAATTGACCACTTCTGTCACGCTGGTCAGTGCTGGTTGGTGATGAGAAACAAAAACATTAGCAAGCTGCAGCGTGTACAACATTCTTAGGCACGTGTCATAACGGGTACTGCAACATCCGACCATGTGTGTCCAGTGCTCACCGAGCTGCATTGGCTTCCGGTTGCTGAACGAACACATTCTAAGGTCGTGCTCATGACACAAAGTTCTTGCCACAAATGAACCAAAATGCCTTTCTGGAGCACGAACCATCGCACAAACGAACCATCAAACAAAGACGGTCACGGCCTCGTATGCTTTGAGATGCACTTGAGTGGCTATCTGGAATGCTCTGCCTTTCGATATTAGGAAGACACTGGAAGCTATGCACTTGTAAATATAAATTGAAAATAATTTATTTAGAACTGCTTTTTGTCTTCAGCTGTTCTTCCTCCCGCACCTCCAATTAGGATGGTTGGCTATTTACGGTGCGAAATAAGTTCAACATACATACGGGTATAGGTACAACGCATCAATGGATTATGTTGGTTTGCCCTCCGGTCATGGGTTCTTGCTTGGTCATATAACTAGAGGTCTGTCTAGGACACGTGGGTGGACTCACCTGCTCTGGGATATTTATGCATGTGTCCATTACGAGGACAGGGAATTCGAGTGCTGTGTGGCAAGCCCCAATTGCGTGTGACCACGCATGTTTACGTGCATCGACGATGTGTCGGCGTTGAGCCGTGTGGAGCGCACGTACTCAACAGCCCCGTGTGTGCGTCGGCGTTGGCAGGCAGTGGCTCCCACGCTCCAAGCTGATGCCGCTGGGCATCGAGGAGAGCCTGGACAAGCTGAAGATGATGGAGGGCCGCAAGTCCAACATCCGCAAGTCCGTGCAGATCGCCTACGACCGTGCCATGACCCACCGGAGCCGAGTGCAGGGAGAGAACAGTGACTCGAGCGACGTAGAGTGAGCGAGCGCCTTCCTGCGCTCCCCGACCCTGCGTATTTCCCCGCCTTACCTCAATCACTGATGAAAGTGAGCTCTGGCCGCGGCGCCACAGACTTCTGCCCCAGTAGTCGGGGAGGCTGCTCGGTGTGTGGTGGCCTGACTGTGCCGGGGCCCACACCGCTCCCTGGGTCCCACGCGGCAGCATCTCCCGACTACTGCCGCCACCGTCTGCCCGCCTCGCCTGATTTTAATGGACTTCAGCCAGTGAAGCCTGCGGGAGCACAGATGTGTTGTGCCGTCACGGCAACGCCACTTGTACTTGTTGCTGTACAAAGGTGTTTTAAATTCCCGCTTTTACGCGCTCTTTGTTTTCCAAGTGGCGACGCTGTAAAGATGCCTTCTTATGGATGGACTTTGGTTTTACAGAGTGTGTATATTATTCCTCACAGCCCTCTTAAACAGAAGGCGGCGCCCGCGTTATATCTGTGGTATCCGAACTATTCACTTGAACTCTCTGTTTTTTGACACATTGTCTAATGAAAAGTGATGTGACTTTTGTTAAATGTGCATGATCTGGTAAACTGTATTTTTATACCTGCATTATTTTTTACTGTCACCATCTGGCTGTACTCTGTTCTGGTCTTTTATTTTGTGAAGTACTGGGGACCTAAAGTAGAAATGTTAAATGTACTGTTCTGGCAGTCTGTACTTTATATTTATTGTAGAAACGAGTGCTTTGATTGATAGTAATTTTTATAAGGTGCTTGACTAGTTGGAAAGTGGTTTATGGAAATATCTCTATATTTGTTTCATGTTTTATTTCATCACAGTGCAGACTGTCAGTTTTGTTTCAAACCAATAAATGTGATGAAATCGTTTAATTTCGTACAGATGTGTGGTTTGCTCTCCAGCTCGTCTCCTGATATCTACACTTTTGTCAGTGAGATGAATATAAAGTGACTACTGTGCTATTAGTTTTCTATGTGTAGATAAGTGAACGACAGTTCGATAAAATTAAGCAATAACATAGCTGAGATGTTTCCAGTTTGCATTTTTTGTGGGAAGATAAAATATATAAGATATAAATATTAAAAATAAGTCTTTTGGACCGAGGGCCCTGAGAGTTTTGCCCAGTGTTCCAAGGATGGTAGGCTGACGCAAAGAAAAATCATCATGGTTGTCAAGTATCGTTTTAAGAATAACATGTTTAAACTTTTAAGGATTATGTAATAATAAAGTGCCATACATTAAAAGGAGCTCGCCGATTTAAAAAAACACCCGTTGTGGTATTTTCTCCTAGTTGTCTTATCCAAAGCAGTCGTAATTGAGGGCAAAATATTTAAAGTGTAATCGGATACGACAAGAATGGGGATTAAGCTGGGATGTCGTCAATCGATGGGTCATAGCAAAAGCCAATACCAACACCGGTCACAAAACTTGACCCATACCGATGTGTTCATATGGCCAATAAAAGTGATGTATTTCATAACCCACCCGAAATTAGTGGGGTTCTCTCAATTAACTTCTGAACCACATTAAGAAATTGGAACCGCTCAAGTTATGCCACCGCATGTCGTAGCGATGAGTGAAATAGCGTCCGAACTCGTGGATTAAGTGTCGGGGTTTGGTTATTTGGAATCTGGTTATTGTTATGAGTTGTAGAAATTGTTTTAGCAATGGTATTGTGAGTGCTCTAGCAGTTTCAAGTCGGGGTAGGGGAGGTGCGAGTGTTAAGGTTAGTGTTCTTCATACAGTTATGGTTCGTGTTTTATGGATGGAGGTGTCTTGCAGGATTCGTGTTGTGGATAGTTACTTTTAAGGGTGGTATTAGTATAAGTTGTATTGCTCAGGGTATAGTGGTTAATGTTTACGGGTGTATAGGTATTGTAAAATCCGTGATATGGGTATGGTTAGATGGGAGGCCTATCATTGATGTTTAATATTATGGTTTAGGTTGGTGTTAGAGATCGTGTTAGCGCAGTTGTGAGTGTTATTGATAGGGATATTGTTGCGTTCAGTTTCATGTTAGTTTGATCGGTAAGAGTAATATTGGTGTTGAGTTATGGTTAGGGGGTAGTTTCATGGGCTAGCTGGGTAGACTTAACCGTGCGTGACAAGTGCTCTCTGTCGTGTTGGTGTGAGAGCTGTGCTTCGCTTTATTGGAAGTCCTTAATGTGAGAAGCATCGTTGGTGTGGGGTGGGTGTCTGTCTGAGTAACGTGTTCGGCGGACGGCGCTGCGCTAACCACCGCGCCACCGCTCTCAATCTCAAATCTCCCGCGTTCGCGCGCGTGACGTCACCGCGCGAGCCACGCCCTCGCCACCGCGCGGTGGGGGCTGGGGGTTGGGCTGGGTGGGGTCAAAGGTTTCGCTTCCGGCCACTGAGAGGCGGGGGGCAGCAGCAGCAGCAGCGTGAGGAGCGGATCGAGCTGAGCGGTAGCTCCGTGAGACGCGGCGCGGGTGACGAGGACGACGACGAGGACGACAACGAGGAGAGAGAGAGACGAGGTGGAGTGACTGAGAGGAGACTCCGCCGCCGACGACGAGGAGGGAGGCGGCGGCGGGATGTACCGCGCGCTGTACGACTTTCGCTCGGCCGAGGCGAACTCGCTCGCGTTCGCGGCGGGCGAGGCGTTCGTGATCCTGGAGCGCAGCAATCAGTACTGGTGGCTGGCGAGCAAGAGCAGCGGCGACGTGGGATACGTGCCTGTCACCTACATCCGCAGGGACGAGGTGAGGCGGTGACGAGCGGGACGGGAGATGCGCCGAGGGCGAGGTTGGTGACGGTGGTTGTGGTGGGTGACGGTGGTGGTGAAGGTGGTGGTGGTGGTGGGTGAAGGTGGTGGTGGTTGTGGTGGGTGACGGTGGTGGTGGGTGGTGAAGGTGGTGGTGGTGGTGGGTGAAGGTGGTGGTGGTGGTGGTGGGTGAAGGTGGTGGTGGTGGTGGGTGAAGGTGGTGGTGGTGGTGGGTGAAGGTGGTGGTGGTGGTGGGTGAAGGTGGTGGTGGTGGTGGGTGAAGGTGGTGGTGGTGGGGTGAAGGTGGTGGTGGTGGTGGTGAAGGTGGTGTGGTGGTGGGTGAAGGTGGTGGTGGTGGTGGGTGAAGGTGGTGGTGGTGGTGGGTGAAGGTGGTGGTGGTGGTGGGTGAAGGTGGTGGTGGTGGTGGGTGAAGGTGGTGGTGGTGGTGGGTGAAGGTGGTGGTGGTGGTGGGTGAAGGTGGTGGTGGTGGTGGGTGAAGGTGGTGGTGGGGGTGAAGGTGGTGTGGTGGTGGGTGAAGGTGGTGGTGGTGGTGGGTGAGGTGGTGGTGGTGGTGGGTGAAGGTGGTGGTGGGTGAAGGTGGGGTGGGTGGTGGTGTGGTGAAGGTGAAGGTGGTGGTGTGGTGGGGTGAAGGTGGTGGTGGTGGTGGGGTGAAGGTGGTGGTGGTGGTGGTGAAGGTGGTGGTGGTGGGTGAAGGTGGTGGTGGTGGTGGTGGGTGAAGGTGGTGGTGGGTGAAGGTGGTGGTGGGTGAAGGTGGTGGTGGGTGAAGGTTGTGGTGGGTGAAGGTGAAGTGTGGTGGGTGAAGGTGTGGTGGTGGGTGAAGGTGGTGGTGGTGGGTGAAGGTGGGGTGGTGTGAAGGTGGTGGTGGTGGTGGGTGAAGGTGGTGGTGGTGGTGGGTGAAGGTGGTGGTGGTGGTGGGTGAAGGTGGTGGTGGTGGTGAGTGGGTGGTGGTGGGTGAAGGTGGTGGTGGTGGTGGTGAAGGTGGTGGTGGTGGTGGGTGAAGGTGGTGGTGGTGGTGGTGGGTGAAGGTGGTGGTGGTGGTGGGTGAAGGTGGTGGTGGTGGTGGGTGAAGGTGGTGGTGGTGGTGGGTGAAGGTGGTGGTGGTGGTGGGTGAAGGTGGTGGTGGTGGTGGGTGAAGGTGGTGGTGGTGGTGGGTGAAGGTGGTGGTGGTGGTGGGTGAAGGTGGTGGTGGTGGTGGGTGAAGGTGGTGGTGGTGGTGGGTGAAGGTGGTGGTGGTGGTGGGTGAAGGTGGTGGTGGTGGTGGGTGAAGGTGGTGGTGGTGGTGGGTGAAGGTGGTGGTGGTGGTGGGTGAAGGTGGTGGTGGTGGTGGGTGAAGGTGGTGGTGGTGGGTGAAGGTGGTGGTGGTGGGTGAAGGTGGTGGTGGTGGTGGGTGAAGGTGTGGTGGTGGTGGTGGGTGAAGGTGGTGTGGTGGGGTGAATGGGGTGGTGGTGGTGGGTGAAAGGTGGTGGGTGGTGGGTGAAGGTGGTGGTGGTGGGGTGGTGGAGGTGGTGGTGGTGGGGGTGAAGGTGGTGGTGGTGGTGGGTGAAGGTGGTGGTGGGGTGGGTGAAGGTGGTGGTGGTGTGGTGGGTGAGGGTGGTGGTGGTCGGTGAAGGTGGTGGTGGTGGTGGGTGAAGGTGGTGGTGGTGGTGGGTGAAGGTGGTGGTGGTGGGTGAAGGTGGTGGTGGTGGGTGAAGGTGGTGGTGGAAGGGTGAAGGTGGTGGTGGGGTGGGTGAAGGTGGTGAAGGTGGTGGGTGGTGGTGGTGAGGTGGTGCTGGTGGTGGTGGTGGGTGAAGGTGGTGCTGGTGGTGGTGGTGGGTGAAGGTGGTGCTGGTGTGGTGGTGGGTGAAGGTGGTGCTGTGGTGGTGGTGGGTGAAGGTGGTGCTGGTGGTGGTGGTGGGTGAAGGTGGTGCTGGTGGGTGGTCGGTGGGTGAAGGTGGTGCTGGTGGTGGTGCGTGGGTGAAGGTGGTGGTGGGTGAAGGTGTGGTGGTGGGTGAAGGGGTGGTGGTGGTGTGTGAAGGTGGTGGTGGTGGGTGACGTGGTGCTGGTGGTGGACGAAGGTGGTGCTGGTGGTGGACGAGGTGGTGGTGATGGGTGAAGGTGGTGGTGATGGTGGTGGGTGAAGGTGGTGGTGATGGTGGTGGGTGAAGGTGGTGGTGGTGGGTGAAGGTGGTGGTGTGGTGGGTGAAGGTGGTGGTGGTGGGTGAAGGTGGTGGTGGTGGGTGAAGGTGGTGGTGGTGGGTGAAGGTGGTGGTGGTGGGTGAAGGTGGTGGTGGGTGAAGGTGGTGGTGGTGGGTGAAGGTGGTGGTGGTGGTGGTGGGTGAAGGTGGTGGTGGTGGTGGTGGGTGAAGGTGGTGGTGGTGGTGGTGGTGGTGGGTGAAGGTGGTGGTGGTGGTGGTGGGTGAAGGTGGTGGTGGTGGTGGGTGAAGGTGGTGGTGGTGGTGGTGGGTGAAGGTGGTGGTGGTGGTGGGTGAAGGTGGTGGTGGTGGTGGGTGAAGGTGGTGGTGGTGGTGGGTGAAGGTGGTGGTGGTGGTGGTGGGTGAAGGTGGTGGTGGTGGTGGTGGGTGAAGGTGGTGGTGGTGGTGGTGGTGGTGGGTGGTGGTGGTGGTGGTGGTGGGTGAAGGTGGTGGTGGTGGTGGTGGGTGAAGGTGGTGGTGGTGGTGGTGGTGAAGGTGGTGGTGGTGGTGGTGGGTGAAGGTGGTGGTGGTGGTGGTGGGTGAAGGTGGTGGTGGTGGTGGGTGAAGGTGGTGGTGGTGGTGGTGGTGGGTGAAGGTGGTGGTGGTGGTGGTGGTGAAGGTGGTGGTGGTGGTGGTGAAGGTGGTGGTGGTGGTGGTGGGTGAAGGTGGTGGTGGTGGTGGTGGGTGAAGGTGGTGGTGGTGGTGGTGGGTGAAGGTGGTGGTGGTGGTGGTGGGTGAAGGTGGTGGTGGTGGTGGTGGGTGAAGGTGGTGGTGGTGGTGGTGGGTGAAGGTGGTGGTGGTGGTGGTGGGTGAAGGTGGTGGTGGTGGTGGTGGGTGAAGGTGGTGGTGGTGGTGTGGTGGGTGAAGGTGGTGGTGGTGGGTGAAGGTGGTGGTGGTGGTGGTGAAGGTGGTGGTGGTGGTGGTGGGTGAAGGTGGTGGTGGTGGTGGGTGAAGGTGGTGGTGAGGTGGTGGTGGTGAAGGTGGTGGGTGAAGGTGGTGGTGGTGGTGGGTGAAGGTGGTGGTGGTGGTGGTGGGTGAAGGTGGTGGTGGTGGTGGTGGGTGAAGGTGGTGGTGGTGGTGGTGGGTGAAGGTGGTGGTGGTGGTGGTGGGTGAAGGTGGTGGTGGTGGTGGGTGAAGGTGGTGGTGGTGGTGGGTGAAGGTGGTGGTGGTGGTGGTGGGTGAAGGTGGATGAGGAGGCAGTTAACGCGGTGAGGGATGGTGAGGTGAGGGAACGATACGGGTGAATGAGTGGGGGGGGGGTGTGCTGGACTCGGTGAGGGATAACCAGAGGACGAGGTGGGTGAGATGTTCGGCATGGGAGACACTGCTGTAAATAAATAATCATGGTTATGGTTATGATGTGGTAATTGGGATGTCAATGTAGGTGGAAGAGGATGAGTTTGCGGAGGTTGGTGGGGACGAGGTGCATTAGGAGGTGGATTAGTAAGAGGTGGATGAGGTGGACGAGGAGGTGGACGAGGCGGTGGAGGAGCCGGTGAGTGAGGCAGAGCGGAGGCGGTGGATGAATGGGCAATGCGGTGGTGCAGGAAGGAAGCTGGCGGGCCGCGTGATGTTGATGCCCGCTGAGCCGTGTTTACAAAGTCATTCTAGATTTGAAGCTTTCGTGACAAAGCCACTCGGGCCGAGAGACGAGCGGGGCGATGAGATGCTCTACAACCTCCTCTACCACCTCATTTACCGCCTCTCCCATGTTCACTTTACCCGTCTTATTCGCCTCCAAAACATCATCCCCCTTCCAATAGAACCTCGCCCGCCTCATCTACAACCTGATCCCCTTTCTCTTCAACGTCACCTACCTCCTCTACAACCACATCCATCTCGATAACCTCGTCCGCGTCATCCGACACCTCGACAACGTCCTCCCCTGCAACATCATCATCCACTGCCTCTTCTGCTGCGTTCATCCACCACCTTATACACCTCGTCTGCAGCCTCATTGTCCACTTCATCCACAATCGACCATTCACCATCTCTACCTTTTGGGCCACCTACTCCACCACCTCGTCAACCTCGTCAACCTCATCAGACACCTTTTCCTCCATTGCCCGGCCTATGCATTTCACCTGTCCTAGACCCAGACCTAGAGTCCAGACCCTGCCCAAGACCATTTCCCTTTTGCCTAGCTCTCGCTGTTGCCTCCTGTCGGGCCGAAGAAGCCACCACGGGCAATGCAATGTGACATGTGACATGCGGCAGTCGAACCGCCCTTGACACATCTGCATCTGAGCTCCCAAGAGTGGATTAATGGGGTGGTCCGGTCTCTCAGAGGGGGCCACATAGGGGGGGGGGGTGTGGTCAGGGTCCGGGTGTGCAAGGCGTCCAGGAGTGGTGAATTGGGGGGTTGAAGGGGCATCTCCCTCCACCCACTGGGTCTGGTCACGTTCAAACCAGTCACAGGGGTCCTCAGCGGGGACCCTTATTCCTCAGGGGTCCTGAGGTCCCCTCCTCCCAGGGAGTCTGTTAAGTCTGCACGATCGTTTCACCAGCTGTACCTAACGACTGGGATAGAGGATAGGGCACGGCTTACAGTCTCCATGGCAAGGTAATAACTGCGCCCTGTGTGCATTGTAATTATAACCGTCGCGCTTACATGCCAGGCGTTTAAATGCCTCGCAGCTGCGTGCCTTGCAAGCGTATTAAGCTTTGAGATGACAGACGGTGGTGATGCCCACCACTCTCCGCCTGAAATATCCACTGGAAAAAGCGTTCGGCGCTTGATGTGAATAATCCGGCGATCGATGCTTGGCCGGTGCTTGACGTGATACGTAATCCTCTGCGGCATGAAGAGGCAGGCCCCACGCTACCTCAGCCGCTCTTGCTCCGACGGTGTCCGTGGGCAGCAATTCCCTATAGTTGGGATCTGCTAGCCTCGTTGAGTCTCAAGACCCTCATGGCATGAAGTTCCTGCCAGGAGGTTCCTGCCATGGTGGCTTTTTAAACCGCACAGGAGGCGTAGGCGAAAGCTCAGAAAAGGCATGCTGTTGGGCATGGGCAGGGTTTGGACTAACAGAAGGGCTCTTCTCGAGGGAAATTAAACAAACGTTTGTGATGCTGCGTTGGCGGTAGTGCACAAGCACACATTATGTACATTTCACACTTTTGTCAATACCACTGCTGTACATAAGAAAACAAATATTATAGGTGGCTTCTTGGGCAATGACCGTTCTTCGTGAGTGAATAATGGTTGGAGATGGCACCATCGCACCATGGGGGCCTGATATAAATATGGTTTCATAATATTTCTAGCCGCAGTAGGTCATGTAAACAATTTCACGGTAGCCATGTATTGAGTAATAGACCCACAACTCTTCAATCATAATTTTAAAAAATGTCAGAATTAATGTGTTTTGCGTAAACTAATCTTGGCGCATCATCGGGGGCAGGGCGTCACGTGGCAGAGCGCTCGGGTAGAGAAGTGAGCCACGGTCCACAGAGCGGCGAGGGCCGCTGCGTCGCACGGCGCTCTTGGGGCCGCAGCCGCTGTCAGTGCAGATTTACGGCATCGGTAGCCGGGAGGGTGCGTGGGACACGACGATTCCGTGCGACGCTCTTTAACAAGGGGTGGCTCCCGGAGGAGTGCGATGCGCGGCACAGATGAGACAGGACAGAGAGCTCGGACAGGACAGCCTGGGTGAGGTGGACAGTACAGGGAGTACAGTTGAGAGTGTGGGCCAGACCAGAAGTCGGTTATAATTATAATTACGGCAGCATTGATAGCTGAAATTACCATTACATTTACATTGTGATTGACATTCATTACGAACCACACAACAATTACAATGGTGATTGACCCCAGGGTCCATGCGGACACCATAAAGACACGACGCAAAGCCTGAGCGAGGTGATTGGTACAGACAGGACGGACGGTATGAATGAGGCAGACAATCTGACGGAGACAGGGCTGTTCGTGTTGAGTCCTCACTGTCCGCCCAGATCTCCATTGCAGAAGACATCAGCCATCACGTCGGGCTGTCACCCTCTTTAAATATACAGCAGCGTACCAATCTAGCACGGCGTGTAAACAGGGTCTTGCACGGCTCGCTCGTGCCAAACATGTACATACAGGCGCCGCTCATTCAAAGCGGCCTAGCGCCTCTGGGGAGCCAGTGCTTTGAGGTTATCCTGTTATGCATCACAGCTGCTCTAATGCATTCATTGCTGTACCAACCCCGGGAAATTAGCATTTGAAAGAAAGCATAATTTCTTAATTGAGCACGAAAGCCGCTCGAGATGGTGAGCACTGTGATTTTTTTTTTCCGCAGAGCGAATTGAATATTAAGGAGTAAAAACAAACGCGCGAGCGGGGCTGCGGTGCCGCGCGTATTTACGGCGGACTTCACGGAGTGTGGAATCTCAATTGGCCTTGACGCTCACCCGGCCACAGAGAGCCGCAGGGATGGAGGGAGGGGATCTGGTGTCAGAGAGGCCACCCTGGGTTTTGCGTTCCTGTGCCTCCATCGTGCCACGGCTCCACGGGGCCCCGGGCTTGGCGCTGTCCTTCTGTTATTTTTGGTAAAGTGCTGCGACTCTTCTTATTGAATTTGCTGTCAGTCCCCGGCTCTGCGGCCTCGACTTTAACGAGCGGTGAGGATTTACGGCTCTCTGAATGTCCCAGGCACCCTGCGTCTCTGGCTCTGCGTGTGGCCCAAGACTCTGCCTCTTTTATTACTGCACGCTGCACGCCTCTGCAGTGGTTGGGGCAGGGGGTGCGAGAGCACCAGGAATGGCCGCAGCAGAAACATTTTTCCCTGTTCGAACCCGGGCAGATACAAAACAACAACTCCTCAGCGGGCTCTTCGGCACAAGTGGGAAAATCACCAGATTCCACTTCCAAGGACAATAAATCTGGGTGTTAAATAGGAGCGGGGAAACCTAAATCTCCCGCTCCGTCCCTGCGCGTGAATGAGCGCGACCTGCGAGGTTTTCTTGTTCGTGCTGGCGGCGTCGATAAACACTGCTCTCGCCGACGTTCGGAAGGGTTGTAGCGGTCATTGATTTGGCCGATTTGCAGGGCCAGCGTGGGGGTTTGGTGGGGGGGAGCCACGGGGTGGTGGTGGTTGGTGGCGGGGGGCTTGGACTGTCACAGTAATCTGACCCCGGGACAAAAAAACAACTGCGCAGAACGTGTGACATAACTCCACGTGCAACCCCCCACCCCCCTTCCCCGGGTTTCATCAGCGTAATGGAATTGCCCGCGGGAGGGTGCAGGAATAGGGGGGGGGGAGGTTGTGTCAAAACAAGCCGACACCTTATTGTTGCTGCATTCTGCGCCCTCCGTTTGGCTCATTGCGAGCGGTGTTCTTCGTGCGCAAAACCCACTGCTGCTGCGTTATCGCATAAGCGCCGCGTGGCAGCGAATCGTGCGAGCGAGGGAGGGGAGCGGTGATGAATTCCCATCGCTGTGATTTAACCTTGACTCAAATCGGGGACCTGTGCATCATCTTACCGGTTGATTTCTGCTGCATCTATTTTTAACTGGAAAATCGGTTGCCAAATCTTGGCTGTTCTGCGGATGACACAGCTGGCTTGAGGAAATGCAATGATGTGTGGGGCTTCCCTTACAGAACAGTCCATTCGGCAATTAGGACAAAGAGCTAAGCTTGGCACCTCTTTGTTTGTGATTACTCGGCCAGTAAAATCCATTTTCGGTGACAGCTATACAATATATAACTGTCAACAGTTGACTCGGTAAGGCGTTCCTGAAAATATAGAGGACGGTTACAGTGTTAGAGGGGAGCACAGTGACACAGTGGTTAGCACATTGTGCTTTGAACCCGGCTCGAATCTTGGCCACGGCTAAAATCAGTGGTGAGTGATATCTGAACTGATCCTGGTTCTCTCCTTGACCGACCTGCAGTAACCAGTGGTCAAACAAACTGCATGGCTGACAGGTCGTTGGGAGACCTTCATCCGACAGCGAATTGACGAAGGGCTGTACACATTGTTGAAGGACTGGAGTTTTGGAACTCCGTTCCTCAAGACTAACCTCAGGCCTGGTTTACCAGTTTTCATGCGTATGCAGTTTGTGACTATTTAATTTACATTTCAATGGTGGATAAGGATTTGCAAAAATGAAAAGGTGGAATGGAGTGGATCTCGTCATGAGGAATGGAGTTTGATCAGCACTGGTCTAGGCCATTAAATTGATTTTGGGAGCTCAGCAGGAAAGAGTTATTATTCCTTTTTTTTCAGGTCATCCAACCGAAGACAGAAATTCAGATTCCTTGCAGAGACTCATTGCGTTCATCTCCTGTACAGCGTGGAGTGTTGCTCAAAGTGCAGCTGCACTGCAGCGGAGCAGTAAATCACAGTGTTGTACAGCAAGGCCCTCTGGTAATGGGGGATATTATTATTAAGACTCCACAAAACGTTTGGACTTCATGTAGAGAACCTTATTGAAATAAAGTGAATTCCTGCTCAAATGAATGTTGAGGCATCGGTGCTCATCTCCTGTTCACGGCCCTGCAGTGCCAGTGGTGGAAATTCCACATTCCTTTTATTGTGGGCGAGTCTATCCATCGGACAAACAATGTTGACTTTCCTACAAAGCGGTCGCAATTTTATTGACCGTGGAGGGATGATGAGCTGAGTCAACCCTCAACTAGGATTAGGACTCTAGCAACCTTTCGATTGGGAGCCGCTCGCTCCACAACCTGAGCCACCAACGCCGGCTTACCTTTCCTACCTTGAGACACATGGACACACAACGCGCACACGCGTGCCCTCGGTACGAACGTTTGCTCGAGCAGGCATTGCATTCTTGTTTTGCTAAATTCAATCGGAGTGCATCGCTGTATTGTTCCTCTCTGTCTTTTCCAATTCTCTTTGCGTTTTTTTTGCGACGCAAATGAAAATCCATGCGGACGCACGACAAAAAACCAGGATGGCTCCGTTTGATTTTCCAATAGGTCATCTTAATTTAGCAGTGTTCCGCACACGGGTGCGCCGTGTCCACCGTGACCAGCCAGGCACACCGCGACGTGGTCGTGAACGCACAGCGGTTCAGCCACGACGGCGCCTTTAAAATGTGTTTTCCGTGACAGGAGTCAAAATCTGCGTAGAGTGGGACGACGACTAGAGCCGAGTCGAGTGTCTGATGGAAATTCTCTCCCTGCTCACACGAGGATCGCGGCAAAATTCGACGTTCTTATGGTTGGGTGCTTTTCTGTCAACTTATGAGTGCACGGACCGTCGGCTTTTTGGCAATCGACTTCTGGATGTGGGGGGTCTTTGACCTTGACGTCACCATGCTGGTCAGCGCGGTTTGATGAAGGTTGCGTTAGAGGTGGGAGCGCAGAAGTACAGGAAGATGGAAACTGTTTCTGCACTGCCTTCCACTTTCAAACAGGGAAGCCCCGTAGCCTGTAACATCTGTTATCACTCACGGTGGTCGCCCATCCAAGCTCTGTCCACGCTCTACCCTGGGCGGTGACGCGGCCCAGCGGTAACGCACTCGGCGCTTGTTGTCAAGAGGTTCACGGTTCGAATTCACAGGGCGACATAATTAATACTGCACTGTGCCCAGCCCGGCATGCGTGATTGACGTGAGCAGCCCCACCGTGTGCCCCCTCCCCCTTCAGACCGAGAACAAGGATGCGGTCATCCTGTCCATTGACCGCGCCATCGAGGCGATCCACAACATTGCCATGGAGCACAGCGGGAAGTACACGCTCGAGCAGAGGGAGGTGCTGCAGTAAGTACCGCGCACTCACTCGCTCTCACGCACCAACTCACACCCACACACACAAAGACAAACGTGCTCCGTATAGCCGTTAATGGACTGTTGGGCCAAGTGCTGGGGTGTGTGGCCATTACCACGCCCAGCCTCCATTGTCTCCCCAATGCGGATGTTTACAGACCACACGAGGTACTCATTAAAGGCCAAGTCGACCTAGGGGAGGCCCAGGACCAGTTGAAATATCACTCATGTTGGCTGTGAGCGGGAATGGAACTCGGTTCGCCGGGTTCGTATCACAGTTCGCTAACCAGTGCGCCATCGCTCCCAATGCTCACCCGGAATGGCGTGTGTGCCTCTACTATTGCTCAAACACACGCTTACCCATCAACACTTAAATGCAGCAACAACAACAGCCACTATTTTCCACAAAGCGATAGTGACGTAAACACAGCGTTTGTGCCAGGCTAGGTGCACTTTTGAGGCCATCACGTGAAGCTTCGAAGGCTGACTGCTGGCAGGAGGTCCCAGGACAGACCCACGAAAGCTTTAAATCGAAATTTGACTGAGATAACTCACATATGCACCACGTGTGATTCTCATTGTGCCACTTTACAAAATTTTAGCTGCCCAGCACTCTGCTTGTTGTTGTGAGAGTTGCTGCATTGTGTGTACGCGCACATACACATACACTCATGCATGTGTGTCTACATGCCCACTCGTGCAATGACACACAAACATGATTGGCCACTTGCTCGCTCGCACGCATGCAGCAAGCCCACCGCTCACTGGTGCGCGTGAACACACAACCTTGCACTGATGCATGCAATATGCACTCGCTCACACACGCACATCGTACGCTTGCTCGCGCACATTAACACATAGCTGCCCGCTCACGCACGCAGCGAACACTGCACACACGCAGCGAACACTGCACACACGCGCACACCCGCTTGCTCGTACACACATGCACACAGCGCCCCAACACACACACGTGCATACATTTGCATCCAGTTGATCATGAATGCATGCCACATGCCATGCGCTTGTGATCGCACCATGCTACACACACGCACGCTATTAAAGAAAAATGCGCAGGTTAATTGGGGCTTAATTTCTCACTCATTATTTTCTTGGTCATTATTTTCTCAGTCGCTAATTGGTCTGGCGTAGATGGCACGTGACCAGTATCAACTACAGCCACAGCCGTAGAGAGAGAGATGGAGGTTTATAGTGGATGTGATTTTCTGGGTGCGCAAATATTTTTCTGTTTTGCTGACCTGGACACGACCTGGTTGAAGTTAAGCCTCTCGGTGTGCTTTGTTCACCGAATGTGAGAGGATTGTTGATTGCATGCGTGCGTGCGTGTGTTTGACACAGATTACACTAGTGCGCGGTTTGCTGTCCTCACCCATTGAGCGTGACCTAGAAGAAGCACGAGTACGTGCGGATGCGCTGCACTGACTTGACGCTTCTTCCGCACGACACTGCGTTGTCTACCAGGGCCCTCGCGGCGGCTGACACGAAGCCCCCTTGGCGATTCTGTCTGTGCCGTGTCACCCACCCCCCGCAGGAAGCTGATCCACCACCGCAAGGAGACGCTGGCCAAGCAGGGCCAGGCCCGCGCGTCCCAGCGGCCGACCATCCTGACCCCGGCGTCGAGCGAGCACAAGCTGGCCGAGCGAGGGAGCGCACGGGGCTCCGACAGTGGGGGCGGCGGGGCAGGCACAGGCACCCCCTCCGCCGCCGGGTCCCTGGAGGACGACGAACTCAGCCCCTACCAGGTGAGAAGGGGGCCCGGCGGGGGGGGGTGGGGTCCCCGCGTAACGAGGTCATGCGGGGGTCGCGCTTTTGTTCACGCTCCTCTTAATCCGCGATTAAAGACCCTGTACGGAACGAGGCTCGGAGCGCCTCTCCCCTTAATTGGTCGTCGCTCAAGCAACTCTGAGGGCGGAGGTCACGCGAGTGAGAGTGAAGGGACGCCTGTCTGGTAGACGCGTGCTGCTGATTGGGGATTCGCGGGTCGCCGTCTCATCTGCGCCGCCGACGCAACGGTGAGACCGCGTGGCAGCAGCTGTGCGGTGCATCGCAGCGCCATGCAGCGTGGTGCTGTCACGTGGGCGACAGCAGTGGAGGGAGAGGTGGCGGGGTGGCAACCTGGCCCCGAGATAACTCCAGAGGCTCGTGTAGAGAATCTTCGTTAAAACAAGTCAGAGTGGCTTCCTTCTCAAATGAGTCATGGGGCAGTGCTCATCGCCGCCTGTTTGCAGCGTTGAATGCACAACGTTATGCTTGCGATCCCTTACCGATGTACGTGGCCACGACTGCGTTACTCGCGGCAATCATCATCCCTGACGCCGAGGGCACCGAGGGCACCGAGGGCACGTCCAAGCTTGCTCAAATGGTCACTTCTCCATCGCTTCTCCATCATAACTTCTCCATCAACGCTTGTCCCTCTCTTGCTGCCTCTCTCTGCGTCACCACCCCCCTGCTCTGCCGTTCACTGACCCCTGCACGCCACCTCTCTCTCTCTTCTCTCTTCCCCGCGGAATTCTCACGCACAGGTGCCACCCCAGCCACGCCGCGCGGCCCCGGTCGTCCCGGCCCAGCCCGAGAAGACGCGCAGCTACCCGCTCGATAAGCTCACGGACACCAATCAGAACGGTGAGGCCTTCTCCGCCAGCTGCCGGCCACGTCGCGGGCAGGCAGATGGGAAGGAGAACTCGCGATGACTGTCGCCGCAACGCCATCGGCCGAGTGGGAGTGGGGGGGGGGGTGGCTACCTTCGACTCCAGCAGATGCAGCAGGAGCAGCGGCGATAGTAGTGGTAGTGATGGCAACAGCAGCCGCTATGAGTCCATCTTGAGGACAGAAGCAGTCGTCTCTACGTTTCGCTGATGCCTGCAGAGGATGGCCGCGTGTTCAGCTCGATTTTGTTGGTGTGCTGTCAATATGAATAATAACTGTCCGGCCACACCTGTCGGCTCTCTCTTTGGAGCTGGTGGCCTGGCCAAGGCTGAGAGCATCGCTCACCCGTCGGGGTGGGCACCTGCCGCGTGCGTTCAGGGGCGCGTGGATAGGAGTCGCGCCCGCGTCCCTGGTGTCTGCGAGCAGCGCTGCCTCTGCGTGTAGCTCTTTTGTTTTTGTTCCCAGTCTGCAGCGTTGTCCGATTGTGTTGATGGCTTTTCTTATTATCTACAGAGGGTGCTGAATTTGAATTAGGTGCTCGCTGCTGCCCTGCTCCCCCCGCCCCCCCCATCCAGCCCCCCGCTCACACCAGGGAGCTGCTCCACGCTGGGGTGTGACAATTGGGGTGTTTAGAGTTCGTGGAAACGCGCACGCATGCCGAGTGGAGGAATTTTAACGAGGCACCATCACAACCACGATAAAAGCCAGATGCTCGTTAGTGTGAGATAAATCAGTATTATTTATTTTGACATTTAATTGGTAAGTCATTACTGGCATTGCTTGTTGATGTGTTCTGTAAGGCAGTGCTGGTTGATGAGACCGTGTGACAGATTCTGAGATGAATGCCCAAGCTTCAGGATTCTCTTCCTCCATTGTCACCGTTTTTTTCATTATTGAATTTTATTGAATTCTTCCAGTGCACTGGCGGGCAACGCTTCTAAGTTGAGCCATCCATACATCGTCTCTGCACGTGATTTGGATGTGTTCAGCTCCAGCATCGGTGTTTGAATCATGGGGGAGAGTGAAGTGGGAGGTGGAGTTCCCAATTGAATGGTGGAGGAGCCGCGGTTCTGGATTCGCGTTGGCCGTATAACCCTTGTTGTCATGTGCCTCTGCTGCGGCCACCATTGACCCCCCGTTCTGTTTTTCCGCCGGCAGGTGGAGTGGCACTAAAATCCCAGAAATCGCATCCCGCGCCCGCCCCTCCCCCCAGCCCCTCCCGCTCATCCGCGACCTCATCCGCATCGCCCGCCCCATCTCCCTGTGCCACCGCATCCATTTGCTCGAGCAGTGACGTCATCTCGAGGGACGCTGCGGACGAGGTGGCTAGGGGCAGAGGAGAACGGGTGGCGCCCGCGTTTAGCGACGGTTCTCGGTGGACCGCGGGGGGGAGCAGCGGTGGCGGCACCGGGCCCGAGCGGCCGTCGGCAGGCGTGAGCGCCGTGGCCTCGGTCTCATTCTCGGTGGGCGGCGAGGCCGTAGAGCGGCGCCTTCCGTCGCCACCGCTCAGAAACTCCGAGTCGCTCCAGGGCGGCCCGGCGATCCCGGAAGCGCCGACGGAACCGCGCCCGGTCCCGGCGCGGAACGCGGCGGCCTCGCCACCGGCGGGGGACGTTTGGCCCACGCTCTCGGCCTTCGGCGATTCCTCCTCCTCCCCCCCCTCATCCTCCTCCTCCGCCCGTTCGGCACCTCCTTCCGGACTGCCTCCCTCGCTGGCGTCGCAGCGGGACTCGCCCAGACCGCCGCCGGCACCTTCGGAGGCGCGGCGTGACAACTCGCGGCTCTTCCCGGGCGTGGCGAGCGCAGGAAACGGCGCCCGCCGCGGGCCGCCGGGTTTGCTGGCGGGGCTGGAGATGCGCGAGGCCCCGCCGCCTCCGCTGCCGGCACGGGTGACCGCCGCCGCCGGCGCGGGAGTCTCGGGCTCCACCGGGAGGCGGCCGCATTGGAACCCACCAAACTTCACGCAGTTAGTTCAGAAGCTGCTGTCGCCCGAGCGCCGGAAAAGGGCAGGTAACGACGCTGCTCCCGCTGACGGCTGGCGAGGCTTTGCTCCGGGCGAGCGCCTTCCCCCATAACAGCAATAACCGCGACGCTGACGCCGGAGCGCGATGATTCTCCGCGCTTGCTTGTTCGGGTACCGCGAGCCCGCGTGGCTGCGGTGCATTGCAACGAGCTCCAACAACTGAGATCGTTCGGTTGTTGAATTAGACAGAGGAGGGGGTGGGGCGGTGGGGGGGTGGTACGAGGGATGTAGAACTGGTGAGGGAGCGCATTACGGCCTTCGGCGTGCGGTTCGTCATGGGGGGGCTCGCTGGCTGGGCGGGGGGATGGGGGTGGTCCGGCCGCACGGAAGCAATTAACGTCGCCACCTGGAATGCGCGTGGCTCCACTCTCACCTTCAGCTCCCCCCCCCGCCTCTCACCCACTCACCCACTCACCCCACCCTCTCACCTCCTCGCCAAACCCCTTTTCCTGGGCCACGGCACAGCCAGACGGCTCACTTCCGTCGGACCGACGTTTTAATTGCAGCTTTGGATGGAATGAATGACTTGGATTGTAGCTCAGTTGCGGGTGAGCATGGCTCTTTGCTGCTTCATTTTTAAACATTACCAGATGTCTCCAAAGCCGAGTGACGTGAAGCTGGGCCTCTGGGCGTGTCTGTTGGCACGTGGTCCTTAACAAACACTCCCTTGTGTGACCACTCCCCACCACTCCCTCGTGCAACTGTGCAACCGCTTATCCCTGCTGCGCCTGCCTCCTCACTGGAACCCTCGTGCTCCTTGGCTCTCCGCTTGTGTGTGTCTTTGTGTACACCTTTGTGTGTGGGGTGCATGTGTGTGTGTGTGAGCTTGGTGTTGTGCTAGGTCTGTGTGGCGTCTGCAGTGGAAGTGCCACTAACCCAGCCCAGTCCCTCTCTCACTAGCTGCAGGCGCCCCAGCGCTTGCCCTGGCCGCACCCTTCCCACCAACACGGCCTCCACGTTCGGCGTGTTCCCCGAATCCTCCTCCAGGCTCCTCCGCTCCTCCTGGGATGGACGGTCCTCTCCGATTGCCCCCTCCCTCCTGCCATGACTTCCGACGTAGTCCTCCGTTGACTCCTGTTTTCCTGTCTCTCCCCGACCTGTCTCTGCCCCTTCTTTTCTCCCTCCGACAATCCCGCCTCCCTTGTCTCTCCCTCTCCTGTCCATCCTGCCCCCCACGAATCTCCTCGCCTTCCTCGCCGCCCACTGAACCCCCGGCCCTTCAGCCTGCGACGACACACAGGGCAACTCCCTCGCGGGTTCGTCCATCGCCCCCCCTTCCACACGCAATGCCTCCGGCTTCTTCCCCTCGATCTTCGCCGCCTCCACGGCCGGTGCCCCCGCCTCTCGCGCTCGCTCTCGTGACCGCTCCTTCTCTCTCCCCTCCGACGATGACGACGGCGCCGCCGCCGCTGCCACCGTCGCCGCCTCCCCGCGGCGGGAGCAGGAGCGGGCGTCGCAGCGCCACAACGGCACGCTGTTCAGCGAAATAGCCGGCAGGGACTTCCCGCGCGTGCACGCCAAGGACGTGCAGAGCTACAAGGCGGCCGAGAGCGACAGCTCCGACGCGTCCGGCCACTCTACCGGGTCGAACTCGTCTCGCGATGGCAACGAGAAGGTGCCGGCCGACAGCCGGTCGGACGAGAACTCGTGCGGCGACGACGACGACGACGATGATGGTGGTGGCGCCGCCGGTGCCGCCGCTCCCGAGCCCACGCCGGAAAACATGGATGCGGCCGTGGGCCCTGCGGGCGGTGGCAGAGGTGGCGACGCCACGGAGGAGCGGCTGGGCCCCGGTTCGCCGCTCGCTCGGCACGCGACGCCGGAGGTGGCGGCGGCGAACGGCGCCGAGTCCCCTTTGAGACGGAGAGACGCGCTGCTCCGGCGCCTCGACTCGCCGCTCAAGCGTTCAGAGTCGCTGTTTGACCGCTTGGATTCGCCGGTCCGGTCGTGCGGTTCCCCCGTGCGCTGCGCCGACTCCCCCGTGCGCTTCACCGACTCCCCCGCACGCTGCCACGGTTCCCCCGCTCACCGCCCCGGAGGCTCTCAGGCCCAGCGCCCCGCCTTCCCGGCACAGGCCACCAGCGGCGCCGGATCCCCGCTGCGCCGCAGCGTAGAGTCCCCCGGTCAGACGACGCCCGCGGCCTCCCCGCCCGTACGCGGTGACGCGTCGGTCAACGGCGCGAGCGAGCCGCCGTTGGGATCCCCCCCCCCGTCCTCCCCGCCATCGCACGAGGTAGCACGAGCGCAGGTAGGGCGGCGGTCGCCGGAGCGGGCGGAGCCCTCCGTGGCGCCGTCGGATAACGGTCGGGCACGGCTGAGCTCCGTGTCGCCCCCCTCGCCGGCAGCGGAGGACGGCGGCGGAGGAGGAGGCGGCACCGGCGCGGTTCCCCGCACCATGGGCGTGGAGCTGACGGAGCTGGTGCGGCGCAACACGGGGCTGAGCTACGAGCTGTCGCGCGTCGCCATCGGCACCGTGGTCGGGCACATCCGCGACACACTGCCCGACACCGCCGACATCATGGAGGACATCCTCCTGTCGCTGCTCACACAGCAGGTGGGGGGTCAGGGTGGGGCTCGGGAGGCTGGGGGTGAGCGGCACGAGATGAGGGGCTGAGGAAGGGAGGGGTGGTGGACGAGGGAACAGGAAGTGGGGAGTGGCAGCAACAGAGGTACAATTGGATGGAGGCCCCAAGGGTCAAAGGTCAGGGAGTTGGAAATGAAAGCTGAAAGATGAGTGGAGGGTGTGGAGCACGGTAGGGGGGAAGCCCTTTTCCCGACATCTGGACGTTGACACGTCGCATGTCAAGACGCTGAGACCTCCTTTCCCCACCGCTGTGCAGTTCCACTTCTGTGTGACCATCACACGCTCGATTATTCGCCAATTCAGCAGTTGGGTCGGGTCACGTTGTGCAGGGTTCGTGACGACGTTGGATTTTAACCTGACCGAGATTACGCTCGGATAGCCGGACGTGGCGGCTCAGAAGCTGACTTTAAACCCTGCTTTTTATTCCGGTTGGAGCCCTGACACCTCGCACATCTTCAAGCCAATTAATTTGATGCTGGGTGTTGGGAGCCATCTGTCCCTGAGCCCCCGCGCCCTTCGTAGAGGAAACAGATTTTCGCCGAATGGCAACGTGGTGAGGGCTTCTATCATCGATCGCACCTTGAGATGGATGCTGAACACATCTCTAAGGACGCGTTATGTAATGCCCGGCGACCGTTTCTCAGCTTTTTCCGTGAGATATTAAATGCCGCGAGCGCGGCGGATATTCGAAAGTCCTATAAATACGCGCTGTGATGTCAGTTTAAAAATAACAAATTGAAAAGCCAAGGTGACCCCCTCTCCAGCCGCGTACGCCAACGACGCCAACGACGCCAACGACGCCCGCACGAGGCTTGACGATGATGGTGGCCCCTTTGGCCCGATCGCTATCGAACAACAGGCCCCTCAGCTCAGTGGGCCTCGCCCGGAATAAACGGACCCAACTGACTGACGGTGACGAGTGAGGTCAGGGCCGACGGTGGGATCAGTGTCGTGTTGTTCACGCTGAGCTGCCTCGCCGCGGCTTTGGTTTTGTAGGCGGAGGAGGAAGAGGAGGAGAAGGCGCCCAGCGAGGCGGTAAGCCCCTCAACCGTTCTCTCTGCTGTTCCTGCCCTCTCCCAACTAATGTGTGCGGTGTCCCGATGCCTGTGGTATCCTAACGCGTGCAGTCTCCTAACCTGTGCGGTGTGCTCATGTGTGCAGTGTCCCAACATCTGTAGTGCCCTAACATATGCAGTGTCCCAACCTGTGGTGTCTTAACGTGTGCAGTGTCACAACAATTGCGGTGTGCTAATGTGTGCAGTATTCCAACACCTGTCGTGCCCTAACGCGTTCAGTGTGCTAACGCGTGTAGTGCCTTAACGTGTGCAGTGTTCTAACGCGTGCAGTGTTCTAACGCGTGCAGTGTCCAAATAAGTGCCGTATTCTAATCCAAGCCACGTTCTAACGCCGTGCCTTGTCTGAGCGCCTTGGCGAGGCTGCGCTGTTTGCATCCCTAGCATGGAGGGTGAGGTTCAGCCTCTCTTCTCTTCTCCACACTCTGCCTGCCACTAATGACAGCCTGTCGCTGCGTGTGTTCCCTGAGTCGGTTGGACGTTTGACGTGATTCCTCCTCTCTTAACCGCTCCGCTGCTTTTCTCAAATCAGTGATGTGTATTCAAGTGTAATAAGTATGGGAAATAAGTTTTTATACGGAGATTCTATAATCCAAAAAACATGTCACTGAAGACCAGAACAAATATTTATTTATCTATAATTATTTTATTTTCATGGATTTAGGATACAGGGAAATGGAATAAGCACCCGTAAGTGTTTTGTTTGTGCAAGTGGGATGTCTTCGAATTTGTGACTGGGCATACGCAGCGATTACCCCATTAGACTGCGCCGTGGGGAATGTAGTTGATGCACAAACACAGTCTCGGCAATTAACAGTCGAAGCTCTCTCGAGAGGCAACATCCCGTTCGCAAGGTATCAAGTGGCACGCATGCAGCCAACACGTCGTGGCACATACAGCGTGTACCGCGTGCGTCTACACGCAACGTGCAAGACTCTCGCACGTTGATAGACGCGACGCGAGCGGTCATGAAACCCGCAGAGCGGCCGCATCCACGACAGCGGTGGCGTCTGTGAGCACGGCTAGATACACTCCCTTCACCCCCCGCCCCCCACCCGCCCCCCCACCGGCCACCCAGGACCTGCAGGAGCTGCCGGAGGGGCTGGAGTGCCAGGACGTGACTCGGCTCAACGTGATCTTCACGGACCTCGCGCGGCACAAGGACGACGCCCAGCAGCGCAGCTGGGCTCTCCACGAGGACGAGGCCGTGATCTCGAGCTACCTGCAGGAGCTGCTCTCCATCCTGGTCTCGCACGCTCGCTCGCTTGCTCGCTCGCTCTCGATCGATTGAGCACTATCACTCGCCCACAGACCAGAGATCTGGGTGCCTCTGTGAAGGGCTGCTGAGCTGCCAACCTTGTGGCCTCCTGGGTTTAACCTCTGGCAGAATCAAGAATTGACCCCGGGATGTGACCTCATTAACGGATGAAAGGCTCCCCGTGTGCAACAAAGCAATTTGTCTTGTAACTGTCGCGGAGAGGTCAGTGGGCAATGCCAGCGATGGCACGATACGTAACCCTCACTCCTTTTCTTCTGCCAGATCCTATAGTCGCAAACTCAGCGCTCGCTTTCCAAGTCCACCCTTACAGCGTCCCCGCCACCTGGCTTTGGGTCTGCCTCTTAGCCTCCGAACTCCGGGTGCCACTCCGATGCCAGGCCCGTCTACCTGCCCTCCACCCGTGCGACCCTGGTGCCCGCTGTGCACATTACAGGCGAGCGCCGGGTTGGCCAAGGGCACCCACAGGAGGGCAGTAGTGGAACCGATAAACTGTGGAGTTAATTGATTGCGTGAACGAGCGGATATCCCAGCTCTGGACCTCACGGTTATGAGAGTGTCCCCTTCAGAGAGCGTTGCCAGTTACCGTGAACCGTCGCGAGCGGCCCACCCGAGCGGTTCCGGCGTGTCTCCCACCGAGCCGTTGGCGTCGGGTCGAGGCCACGCCGTGGTTACCCCTGGAAGTTGTGGCTACGCTCACACGGTTTTTGCCGTGCGCCCCGCAGACGGACGCCAACCCGGACGTGAGCCGCCGCATGTGCAAGAGGGATGACTGCGAGCCGGTGCTGTCGCTCGTCAGCTACTACCAGATGGTGCGTGGTGGTGAGCGGTGGTTCGGAGGGGTGGGCGTGGGGCTGCACCGGTCAGAGTATTCGTCACCGTCGTCATTGGCATCGTCACGGATTCATTAACGCACTTTAATGTTTGGGTGAGAGCCCGTTGAGTCGTCTCCTTTTCAAGGGAGCCTCAAGTCGAACACGGCAATACAAAAACAAATGTCGATTAAATCCCGATAACCATATTATCATCATTAATGTTCAGTTAATTGGCTGAAAACATCTGAATATATTGAGGATCACAGAGCTTGGGTAATTGTTGGTAGCACCGGTTCCACCGCCTGGCTTCTGCCTTTCTGTTCATCCGTGGCTCCTTGGCGATTGTGAGAGATGCAATTTGTGTGTATATTAATTTCAGCCACATGAGAGTTAAATGAGACTCACCGTGACATTTTCAATGTTAGTGATAGCATGTCAGTGATACAATAACTATCATCAACAGTATCACCACCACCATCGTGTTATTCACAATGCACAGCGCAGGTCTTCATCTGCAACCTGTTAACCTTGGACCAGTGATGTGATTAAATAAACATGCAGTACTAATTAGCAGTGCTTTAATGAGTACCTATGAAGGCTGGGACACCACACTAGGGGGTCCATGGCCTAAAACCCGCCCAGCCGCCTTTGTCTTCCCAGTGCTGATGCTTGCACACCGAACAAAGTGCTTTTTCAGGCTGAGTCGACCTAGGGAAGGCCCAGTATGGTTCAAATAATTTCCACTTACTGGTCTTGAGCGGGAATGAAGCTCGGGTCGCCGGATTCGAAGATCAGCGTGCTAACCACTGTCCCACCGCTCCCTACTATAATATATCAGTACACAATATAACAGACATTGAACATGGTACAAAACGCCACAATCACTGCAATTATATTTGAATTTCTGGAAACGTTACGTCCGACAACATGGCCAACTCCGTACATCAGGGTCAGTTGACTTGAAACATATTTCCTCACCCAGCACACCACATCCAGTATACCTCCCAGTGTGCCAGCAACCCAGAAAATACTCTGTACATGTGGTCAAAACATAATTGTATCGTGCGTGCCCATGCGTTACCGTACCACCGTCGCAATCGTCACCACCACCACTACTGCTGCAGAAGGCAATGAGTGCATTTCATGACCCCGCTGAGCCATTCCCCGTGTCCCCGTGACCAGGAACACCGCGTGTCGCTGCGGCTGCTGCTGCTCAAGGTGTTTGGCGCCATGTGCAGCCTTGACGCCAACATCATCTCGGCGCTGCTCAACTCCGTGCTGCCCATGGAGCTGGCGCGCGACATGCAGACCGACACCAAAGGTCAGCGGCCATGGCCGTGGGTGGCCACGTAGCGCCGGGAACGGCTCGTGTGAAAAGCGTTCGAAGAGCAGAAAAACCCAGATTTGACGATGATTGTGAAGGGGGGCAGAGCACATAAAACCAGCCAGGCCCGAGCCCGACTCCTATCCCCAACCACACAAGCTAATCAGACCACCAAGTCTGACTCGTAAACCCAAAAATGTACCAACCTCTCTCTAAATTCTCATCAAACTACCCAGCAAGACACTAGCCTTACTCCCACCCCTTACCACAGTAGCCAACCTGACCCTAACACTACCCCCATATTAATTACACTCGCCGATCAGATCCTAGCCATATTCCGAACCTCTACAAACGACCCAACCGGACCCGAGTCTTACCTCTTATCACGCTAGACCCACGAGCCTTATCCCAACCCATAACCACACCATCCGACCGACCCTATCACTATCCTTGCCGCTGACGCTAGCACCAGCTCTGCTGGTTAGCCCTGCCGTTTGGCTACTCTCGACACGCACGTTGCCGTAGCTCTGTCGCGGCAGACGCAGGCCCGTGGTGGGGCGGGGGCGTGCTGCGCACACGTGAGCTGGCGCTAGCTCATAACCCTCCCCTCCCGAGCTGCTTGTGGCGTGGGGCGGCAATTCCCAGCATCACAGCGCTAATTTTCACCGAAGAAGCCGCCACGGGCGCGCGCCGTGACTCAAACGCAGTCGTGTTAAACAACCCCCCACCTTCCCAATCCCCGAACGTTAGCGACAAGAGCGTCCCCCGAGGGGGTTGCCATGGCGACGTTGCCAAGGCGACGTGCCGCCGCACCCCGGGGTAGCGGCTCCCGCGAGACGGAAGAGCCTCCGCCCCGCACGCCCCCTTGCGTGCCGGGGCCGCGTGCGTAATTGTGAGCGACCGTCGTGCGCGCGTTGTGTCCGTTGTGCCGCAGAGCACCAGAAGCTGTGCTACTCCACGCTGCTGCTCACCATGGTGTTCAGCATGGGGGAGCCGCTGCCGTACCATCACTACGGTGCGTGGGTGACGCGTGGGAGCTGTGATTTTCGCACCGTTTCTTTGCTCCTCCCAGCGATGGTTATTTTCCTTTTCTAACTTTAGATCCCGATAACAAACATTGCAAGCGCGCCTCTCGGCTCATTCCGGGGCGAATTAGACACAGAGCAAGTTGTTAATTGCGAAAGTGAAGCGACAGTGAAATGCGTTCACGTAATCACCGGTGCGTGTTGAGCGTTTGTAATCGTCGCTACCGCCACACCACGGCAAGATGGAATGCCGGACACACGAGGCTCTCGCCCCCGGGTTCATGGCGCCCGTCCGGTGTGGCACCCGAACCCAGCGAGGGGCTGGTGGTGGCAGCGGCGGTGGCATCGTGAACCCACCGTGACCCCCACGCGCGCACGTTATCCAGTCCATGCGTGCCGGCCCTAATTTCCCAGCCGCTTGTCTTGACCGGTGCAGGCCCAGGAGGTGGCACGTGACGAGTAGTAAGCCACAAACATAGCGACATGTATACTGGGTGTCGTGTGCCGGGTGTGAGAATAATTTCCCGGGTCGCCGACTGGGACAGACCGAGCATAAATAATCACGTCAGCTTTGACCGTGCCACTGCACGGGACTCACTCGCTCAGAGGCGTGAAGACAGACCGACTCGGGGGCGTGGGGGCGAACCACAGAGGAGCGGGAAAGGCAGCCACGCGGCGAGTCGGCATCAATTTCCCCCCAAAGCTCTGCCATCCTCTATACATTAAGGCGTTATCGGCCAATTAGTAAGTGTTTGCATGTGGGGAAAAAAGCTGAGCACCCTGAGAAAACCCATGCATGCGAGAGGACACTTGTACCATACAGATGGAACAGGTGGAGTAAAAAATGTTCTCTACCGCATTCTGAAACGCAAAATGGATCCGTGCGTGCGTGCGCCTGTGCGTGCACGTGGATGCAGATCACCTGAACGAGAGCTTCATGGGCTTCGTGCTGGACGTGACGGAGAACGGGCTGCCGTCCGACACGAGCGACCAGCTCCCCGACCTCATGGTCAACCTGCTGCTGGCGTTCAACCTGCACTTCCAGGGTAACGGCTTCACGCCCACCGCGTTTCCACGTGAAGCCGCTGCGGATTCAAGTCGCGTCCCGAGCGACACGCCTCGGCCCACCCGTCAGGAGCGCTCGTGTTATTGTCGCCACTGCTACATTTTCACGTTCTCCATCCACGAGGACCTCGCTGGCGGGTGGGGGGGGACTAATGCCAATTTATCGGGGGTCTTCTAAACGTGGCCGCGGCTCGAGGCGCCGTGCAGACACGGTGGGCGTGTTTTATAAAGGCAGCCAGCCGGTCTTTGAAAAGAGAAAAAGGTCTCTGGTCTGGACTTGAACGGCTGCAGGGAGTCGACGGCGTGGACGGCTGGGAGAAGGGAGGAGAAGGGATTGACCACGAAGCGTTGGGCTGTTGGGACCCTGCTTGCGTCGTTGCTTGTAAAGCGCTTGGTTTGCTGAAGACAAAACATCGAGGCCCCCAGAGCCGCTTGGGCTCCGACTGACGCTGGGGGTGTGACTTGTGAACATTCTGGACGGTCCGTCCGCTGTGGTCGGGCGTGCGTATGTACAGTATGTATGTTGAACTTCTTTCGCACCGTACACAGTCATCCGTGCTAATCGGAGGTGCGGGGCCCCAGTGCAGTTTTCCCGCAGTCCCTGAAAACTCGATCAAGGTGTTTTATGCAACCAGCTGCTGGCCTCTCACTTGTCTCCACGCGACCGGAGCATCCGAGTGCGATGCCGTAGTAAAACCTGGGCGTGCTTCACCTTCCTGCCCCCCCCCTCCAAATCCCTCCCCAGTTCCGTCCAGCAACGTCATCATGGAGACCCTGGCGCGACGGCTGAACATCAAGACCTTCAGCGAGAAGCTGCTTCTGCTGCTCAACAGAGGAGGTGACGCTCGCCCGCCAGCACCTCTGTGCCACCGGGCCGCCATGGCCACGCGGCACCAGGCGGTGGCGTCGTCAGCGTTACGCCTTCAGTGTTTAGCATCACACACGACGGCGGCCTGGAAGGTTCCCGTGAGGCCTGCGCGTTTCATCGGCCGTCCGTTTTCCAACCGCACGCCACCCTGCAGCCGTTGTTTTAATTAATTCTGTAACACTTGGCGTAAAGAATTTCAGAATGGGGGGCAGGAGGGGCATAACCCTGGTCCTCCCGTACGCGGTGTTTTTATTTGTCTAGCCACTAGATGGCAGCAGCGACTCACGGTGGGTGTGTGTGTGGCCGCAAACAACCCACGTTCAATCACGTGCAATAAATAATACCACAGCAGGAGGGCGGCATGGTCGCTTGGTCCAGAGAATAGCTGGGGTCGGCTATGAAAGGGTTAACTTGACTAAGAGATGACAAATTCCACAGGTCAAGTTGACTAATATCAAATGAACAATTCTGTACCCTCCCTCTACTTCCTCCCCCTCATCCCTCCCCCATCCCCCCCCCCTCCCCTCCGGCTGCCGCAGAGGACCCGGTGGACATGTTTGAGCACGCGCCGCGGCCGCCGCACTCGGTGCTCAAGTTCCTGCAGGACATGTTCTGCGAGCGCGAGACGGCCGCCATTTTCTACCACACGGACATGCTCGTCATGATCGACATCATCGTGCGCCAGCTCTCCGACCTCTCCGCTGGCGACAAGGTCCGCTCGCGCCCAATCCCCCGCCGGGAGAATCCTCGTGCTAGCGGCGTGTGCACGTCGCGATCGCGGGTGGCACGTGGTGCCCGCGTCTTGCCGTCGTCGCGTTCGCGCGGGGCCAACGCACAACGTAGTGCAGAGGTCGCTCACGCAAAACCGCCCCGGTGTTTACATTTCTATCCCAGGGCCCTGAAAACACTTAGCAAAGTTTACCTGGCAGCAATTCGCATAGGCTCCAAGAGTGCTAAGCTTGGGCCGCAGACTCCGGCCTGAGCGAGTTGCAGTCGTTCGGGTTACCGTAGCGATGTTGCGTGTGCTGTTGCAACAGTGCGATGCCTTAAGGCAACGTTCAGCTGTGCGACGGTCGTGTGTTATCAGTCGCGCCTTCTGGATGTGTTGTTAGCTGAGCATCGTGTGTACGCTATGCATGTCGGCTGTTCGTGTTTTATCATGTGCGGTTGGCTGAACAAGTCAGCTGTGCTTGTCTGAGTGTGTTGTCCGAGCATGAGGTGGCTGTTGCCACGACATCCACTGCGTCGACTGCAGGCTTGACCGCGTGTTGACTGTGCATAGGCAGTGCTCGTTGACTACTGGATGACCGTCGACCGCGCTCGTCGACTGTTCCGCAACCGCTGTGCATTTTGAGCGCGTCGGCCGTACTAGACCCGCGCGTCAACGGCTGCTTGTGCGCGTGCCGGCTGCAGATGCGCATGGAGTACCTGTCGCTGATGCTGGCCATCATGCGCAGCACCGACTACGTGCAGCACTCGCACCGCGGCGGAGACCTGCGCGCCTGCTTCCGCCGCATCGCCGCCGAGGAGGGCGGGGAGGGCGACCAGCACTGCTGCATGGACCGCGACATCGTGTGCCAGATCTGCACCGAGTTCCCCGCCTTCGGCGAGAGCGCCTGACGCGCGCCGGAGCGGTGACGCACGCGGCCCCGCGCGTGGCAGCCGGAGGGCAGAGGAAGCGGTTGGGTTTGGTGTGCGGTGAGGCGCGTCGTCACGAGCCCAACGAGCATTGCTGCCAGATTGCGCTCGTGCAAGGTCAACCGGGTCTGGCACACCTCCCCCTCCGCTCCAATCCACACTAATCGCAGCTTCTTCACATCGCAAGGCAGTGCCATCGCTCCTCATCGAGGAACCTCCCTTTGAAATAACCAAACCCTTCCTAGCAGCGTTTGTGTAGTCACCCCACTGCATTCCCACTCAGCAGAAGCCTCCACCGCAGAAAAACTAATTAAAACATATCCTGGGATTCTAACGGCTGTAGGGACCGCCCACACCCCCCCCCCCCAACCTCCCACCGTGCATTCCTAGCAGTCGTCTCGGGGGCACTGGGCCAGGTCTCCCCTCTGGCTGTGGGACAGTGTAAAGTTCGCTGTAGGCCATGGGCCACAGCAGAAACTGGTACCGGCCAAGGTAGCAGAACCCTTAAGTCGGACGGCTTTATTCACGTGGGCCAGATAGCGTGATTAACTTGATAACCCCCACTCTTTTCAAACGGCTAGCGCATTATTCACCAGTATTGGCTGCATGGAGAAGCGCTAAAGCTGTGGTACCGACGAGTGACGTATCTACTCCAGGCTCGTGGGGGCGGTGCAGCGGTGCGAGCGCCGCGGCTCCTCGTGCTGCTTGGTGAGTGAGCGGCAGCATCGAGCCAGACGGACGGTGCCAACAACCCCCTGCGCTCGGTACCGTTAGGGTACGTTCGCCTAAAAGTATTTTGAGCTGTGTGCACTTTTGTTTCGTACTGGGCCGGTCAGTGTTCAGACTTACGGATCTTGGCCGGTAACAAAACCCTCTGTAAAAAATATATCCTTACGCCCTCCGCCCCCCTAGTGCTGCGTCATGTTCCCGCACGTGCGTGTAACGCGCCGCACGGCACGCCGCCAGGCCGACGCACCACCCTTTGAGCTGCAGCTGTGTCGACGGCGGCCGCCGTTTGTTGTTACCCCCCCCCCCCTAGCACGGAGACCCCCTGGCGCCCAGCCGCGTCCCCTGTGCAGATGTCGTCTGGGCCGCCCCGCGCTAAGTGATTTTTATTTGGGAACATTTGATTGGTGGAGGCGGTGTCGCCCAGTCCTCGGTCGTGGCGTGGCACCAACGATCGCAGCGGAGGGCGCCGTCGACCCCGCGCGGGGGCGGCATCGCCGTGCGGCTAGCGGTGCTGAAGGATTGGCACCTGCACGCGAAGGGAGCTGCTCGCCCACCGTGCGGAGTGCGTTGGCCGTGCCAAAACGGTCTTGAAAAACACTGCCGCAGGCCAAATGTGTTTGGGGTTTACGGGACGGTGTATTCGGGCCGACTGGGTGGGACGGTAGCCATGCATGGGGGAATAAAGGCTGCCGAGGGTTAGGGTTCCCGTTTGGCTGCGGCACTGTGCTTCAGAGCGGCGGTGACGAGCGCCACAACTCCAGCTGGGCCTCGTGGGGAATGGGATTCCCCTGAGGATGCGGTATTTTCACTTCCTGTTTATGTACATAGTCCCAGCGCTGCACGACTCGGTGCCAAACAGAGCGCGTTGCATGCTGCATGCAGTGTCCGTTGCTCCTCCCCCCTCGTGGCGTGATAGACATTGAGGCCAAATGCATCCCTCGACTTCACAGCAACGCTTGCTTGGCACAGCGGTTTTGCGCAAAAAACTGAGCGATAACATTTAAAACCGTACCACTACACACGAGCACCGTTGTGCCAAATGTTCTCGGGATGCTTTGTTGAAAAATACAAAGACGATCGCAAGAGTGTATATGTTCTGTAATGAAAATAAACAGTTGGCTTTAAAGGAATGTCCAGCGCACCGCGAGAATGTTTGGATTGGAGACCGGTCCTTCACAGCACTCGCTCACGTGTGGCGATTGTCCACATTCACATTCGCGCCCACACAGCGGCAACAGCCCCCTTTTGCCAATAAGATGCCGAGTGCAGGAGGCCAAAGAACATCGCCTGCAGCCTCGCACACATTCTCACACGTACATGCAGCCTCGCACACTCGCGCAGTCTGAACACTCATCCTCGCAAACATGCAACCACATGCGCTCGCGTGCACAGTGCACACACTGGTTGCGCCGATGTATGCACTGGCATGCATACACGTACAACTTCGACAGTTACGAGATTCCTTCTACTCAGTCGCATCACCAAGTGCATTTTTCAATTTGGAGGGTGCACGTGTGGACACTGTGTTTGGAGAACTTCATTTTTTTGCAGTTAAGAGTTCAAGGGTCGTCTGCCACCCATGGCTCGCCAACCCTTTTTCCTGTGTGGGCGACCGCACCACCTCAGGGAAGCTGCTTTTTGGCGCCGCTGCCGCTGCCCCAGCCGCGCAGCATCGTCCAGCACTCGCCGTGCGCCCGCACGGCGTCACGCAGGTGCCGCAGGTTGGCGGGAGTGGGCGGCGGCGACAGCCGGACGCCCGGTGTCGGCGGAGAGGGTGGGCGACCCTGCAGCGACCGTACGACGCTGCCCAGCGTGGAGCACGAGGGGTCACCGGCCTCCTGCACACGGGAGATGTGGTGCAAAGCACGGCTCGTCACGCCACACCGTGCTACCCTCTGCCACCACGGGCTGCACCCCACCAAACCAACTACACCACATCACACGGCCACACCACACCCTTGGAACGTACCCAACACACACTACACCACATCACACCCCACCGCATTACGCCACGCCACACAGTGCCACGCACTGCCACGCACTGCCACGCACTGTGCCCCAAACCCTAACACTACCATGTTCCAGCACAATCCCAACACGTGGCCACGCCGCACCATGCACACGACACCACTCGTGTTTTGGTTCCCCCGTAAATTTAACTCCAAGCACCCACTCACCGTCACCAGCGCGACCACGCGCCCTGCAGCCAGGGCCTGCAGCAGGAGGGTCACATGACCCATCATCCGAGCCGTCGCTTGGCAACGATCAGAGGCATCGCCCAAGACGAGCAGCAGGAGGTCCGGGCGGAACTCGTAGGCCACGGGCAGGACCAGGTGCAGCAGTGTCCACAGCAGCTCGCCCTCGCCGAGCTACGGGCAGCACAGGCGCGAGTCGGACGCTGTTCAGACGCGGGAACGTTCGCGCTCGCGTGGCCGTTACTGGCGGCTGATGTCGACCGCAGCCGGCGTCTCTCACCTCGGGCCAGCTGATGACGAGGTGGCGCTCGCCGCTCCGTGCCGGTTCCTCCGGCTCTGCCGCGGCGCCCTGCACGTCCAGCACCAGCACGTCCCTGCCCAACAGCGGCATTGTCACCATCGCCCTGGTTTGTCCTCCGCTAGATGAAGGCCTCCCCTCATGATGTAGCACCGGGATGGCCGTTGATGCACTGCCCTCTGTTACCCACGTCGTAGCTCCGCAGCAGCAGCAGCAGCACAACGGCTCCTCGGAGCAAGTCCCCCACATCGCGCCTTATCTCGTCACTTTTCAAAAGCTAAGCAGGGATGAGCTCGGACAATGCTCGAATGGGTGACCACCTCGAGTAGACATTGGCTACTTATAGACAATGCGTAACCACAAGACCCACATCAGCTGAACATTGCAGTCAGCGGCCGGCTGCCTATTCTCACCCTTCATCCGAAACGCTTGCTGGGACGTCCGCTCCAATGGACAGCAGCAGGGTCCTGCACGCACACAGGCACGCACACAGGCACACACACAGGCACGCTCACAGGCACGCACACAGGCACGCACACAGGCACGCTCACAGGCACGCTCACAGGCACGCTCACAGGGACGCACAGGCACGCACGCAGGCACGCACGCAGGCACGCGCAGGCACGCACGCAGGCACGCACGCAGGCACGCTCACAGGCACTCACAGGCACGCACAGGCACGCACGCAGGCACGCACACAGGCACGCACAGGCACGCACACAGGCACGCACGCAGGCACGCACGCAGGCACGCACACAGGCACGCACGCGCCGTCTCCATCACCAGCAAACCGCTCGTCGAGCCATGACGGCTCCATCGTGTGCTCCCTGGCGACCTCGACAGTGAGGCGGCACCGCTCACCGCTTGGCTCCCAGCTGGCGGGCGTAGTTGCTGGCGCAGGTGAGCAGGCCCTGGCTCAGGGGCACGCGGGCCGCCCCGTTTCGGACCTGCGCGGCCGAGCGGGGGGGCAACAGGATCGGCGTTGGCATGGGACGCGCGCACTGAGGTCGCGATCTTCCGCCATTAACGGTGTGCGGGAGGTCGTGAGTGAGGGTCGCGATTACCGTACCTGTCCCCGCAGCACCTGGTCTAGGAGGCCGCAGACTTGTGCGGCCGCCCCCTCGCCCGCCGACTCCGGGGAGGCTCCCCTGCGCGAGCGTCCGCACCGCAACAAACAAAATCAAACGGCGACGTCGCTCTCGACGCGTGGCCACCACGACCCAGGTCTCCCGACACCTCGTGCGCAAAAACCCAATAGTCGTAAGCGCTGCGAGCCGCACCACACAGCACCAGCAGTGGGGGGTGGGGGTAAGAATGTCCCTGCCTCGCATCCCCTCTCAGTCCTGCAACGTGTTTTGCGCTAACTAACTTGCGGTGGTAATTTTTCAAATGTTAGTCCACTCCTTTCGAACGACGCCACTGGACCATTAATGTCCGCCGTGAACCAGATGGTGCGGCCGTAGCGTGATATAGTTAATACACCACGCAGGATTAACCAGGGCAGCCTGCCGGATTCGAACCGCGAACCTCTACCAAAACCTACGGACGCACAAGGGCCCCGTACCTCAACAGAGCCGACAACTGCTCGGCCGAGAGACGTCTCGGCTGCACCGTCGCACATCCAGCCACCTCTGCCGCGCCATCGCTGCCTTCTGGGAAACCCGACACGGCCGTCCGGATTGGCGTCACGGCCACACGGAGGCCGGCCACGTGATCGCGCATCAGCCTATTGAAGTTTGGCGTCCCGATGGCAGCGGTGAGGCTCACGGAGGGATCGGCGAGGTCGGGCTGGTGGTGCCAGGGCAGATCCCCAGAGTCCGCTCCGAATGCGGCGGCCAGCTCCGGCGGATCTACGAAGGCGCACAAAGATCGGTGGTGCGAAGGTGGTCAAGGCAGCGGCAGGGTTAGCGCTGCCCTCTGCGCGAGATGCGGACCAGATGCAGACGAGCGAGGCAATACCTGCGTGGAGCCGGAAGCAGCCCCAGTGCGGCGCGTGTGAGGTCACCAGGTTGTGCACGCTTTCCATGGCGCTGCTCGCAACCCATAGTGTGATAGAGCAGACAACGCGAACATATGCAATAATCCCATGCAACACAATCCCATGCAACACGATCGCACGAAACTAGATTAAACACCATACTACGCAGCATGATCCCGCATGCACAACCTTGTGCAGCTCAATCCCGTTGAACGCGACCGGATGCAACAATCCTATTCAACACAATTCCACAGAAGACATTCCTGTGCATGCGTAGCATGCGTATCGGGGCAATGATTGCTATGTGCGATGTCATTTTCATATTTGGACCCTGACGCCGGCGTGTAATGGCCTACTCTTGCGATTGACGTCACAGGATCTTTGACGTCCGCTGTGAGTGAAGCAGACGGTGCGTGGTATCGTTGCGGTCAATGCACACCGCAGTATTAACCAGGGCGGTCGCCGCCGCATCATTCCAAACTGCGAACCTCCGCAACGAGTGGCGAACACCCAACCGCCAGGCGACGTCTCCGCAGCGCGAAATTCCAAATCTCCCTGCGTCTGCGCTTCACAGCTGAGGGCGGCGGGGGTGGGTGTGCAGGGCCCGTGCGATCACCTGACATGGGGGGCCATGCGGCCGGAGAGTGGGGGCACCGGGTCCCCCAGCATCGTCTGTACTGTGAAGCACACCGACTCGGCGAGCGAGGACAGGTTGTAGCCGCCCTGCGCGATGACACACGGCGCGATGACACACGGCGCGATGACACACGGCGCAAGCGATCGGCACAACACGAGAGGCTGCGTGGGTGCGTGAGGGGGGGTGCGGGGGGGTGCGGGGGGGTGCGGGGGGGTCACGTAGCCCCCTGCAGCAGCCCGTGGTTGCCCATCCAGGTGCTGTCCACTATCGACCCTGCCGCTTAGCGTCCGAGATCCGGCGAGATCCGGCGCTGGTCCGGGCGATCGGGTCATACCCGCGTGCGCGTGCCACGCAGTGGTGTCGGGGGAGCAGTGCACCAAATTGTATTCCGCTCGCACGCTACCCGCCTGCACCAGCCCACGCTGACCGGCGCGGTGAGGTATGGTCAAATCGTCCACACAGTGGATCATCCACAAAGGGGAAAGTCGCGGGGCCACGGATCGCGTCAACATGGCGGTGTTCACACAGCACAGCAACGAGTCGTCGTCACAGGCACGAGTGTCGTCGAATGGGACAGATGGGGTAGATTACTAATATTGTTATCACGACCCTTGTTAATCTTTCGGGAGGGTCCTGCCCAGTGCTCACAGTAGTGAGTGATGGGAGCTGCGTGATCCCAATTGAGTGATGGACCAAACGGTAACCCACTGTGGTCTTCGCTCCTTCAACGGAGGGAGAGCAGCAAAACGACGACACGAACTCTCTCCCTGCTGAAGGCCTCTCGTCGTGGCCTGCAGCAGACCTTGACCTCTAGATCCTGAACCATGCTGCTGCTGCCCTCACATGCAAGAATAGAATTGAGTTACTGAGTGGGTAGAAAATGGCGTTATCCCACTGTGGGATGGATCGCGGCGAGAGCGTCCGGTGTTAATTTGCCTATGCCGCTCGTTAGCCACCCCTCGAGGTCTCCATGGCGACGGTGGGGGGTCACGCCCCCACCCCCCCTCACCTCGAGGACGATGCACAGCCGCCCCCCGGCCAGGCCCCCCAGCAGCTGCGTCAGGTGGGCGAAGCACTCGGGGGTCGCGCTCATCTTGCCCTGAAATGGCACCCCCCCACGTGGAGGTTTCGGCTCAAAATATCGACACTGACGACACACCGGGGGAGGAAGTCAACGACGCGGGTGCATTGTGGCGGCTGCATTGTGGCGGCTGCATTGTGGCGGCTGCATTGTGGCGGGTGCATTGTGGCGGGTGCATTGTGGCGGGTGCATTGTGGCGGGTGCATTGTGGCGGGTGCATTGTGGCGGCTGCATTGTGGCGGCTGCATTGTGGCGGCTGCATTGTGGCGGGTGCATTGTGGCGGGTGCATTGTGGCGGGTGCATTGTGGCGGGTGCATTGTGGCGGGTGCATTGTGGCGGGTGCATTGTGGCGGGTGCATTGTGGCGGGTGCATTGTGGCGGCTGCATTGTGGCGGCTGCATTGTGGCGGGTGCATTGTGGCGGGTGCATTGTGGCGGGTGTCGCGGTGCAGACGCTCACCTCCGGGTCGCCGATAGCGGAGTCGAAACCCGCGGAGACGATCACCAGCTCGGGGTCAAACTACGGCACGCGGCACCACGCAGGACACACAACGCAGCGAGCATCATCATACAGCGGCAGCAACAGCAGAACAGCAGTAACGCTCGACGCTGTAAGAGCCGGGGATTAAATTCAGCCGGCTCTGTCTGGGTCGGCGAGCCCTAACATTTTTCCGCACCCGGCACACCGCATCCACCATACCTCTTGACTACGACTGCGGCTGTGACTATTCGTCACGCGCCACCCACTTCAGTCGACCGGCGGACAACCCAGAAAACACTCGGTGACAAATGACACCGTGGGCGGAGCGGCCGGCGGAGCGACAACGGAGCGATCGGCCGCGAGCGACGGGGCGCACCTCGTAAGCGACGGGCAGCAGCGTGCGCAGGAACGCGTAGAGGTAGTCTCCGTTGCCCATGCCCACCTGCGGCCGGAACGCACACACACGCACGGACGCACACGCGCACACACACACGGATGCACACGCGCACACACCCCGACCAGCACCGTTAGCGAGCCTAACGGGAGCCGCTCGGGGCTCATTGACCTCTCCAGATGGCTCGACGAGTTGATGAAAGTCAATGAGTGGCCACCGATTATATTTGTCGTTTACTCGGCCCATTCGGAAGTTGGCAGCCGCGCCCCCACATCTCTGCCACTCTGAAGGCAGGAAACCCCCCACGAGCCACGCCCTGCGTCCGATGGTGCCAATGATGTCGCCAAGCCCTGCCCATCACCTCCCGTCCAGCGGCACACTTGGGAACAACAAAGGCGACACTTTCTTCACCCAAATAAATGATAAACTATTTTTGATTTTACCAGGCAAGGCCCACTGAGCTACGTAGCTCTATTTCAGAAGCGACCTGGCCACAAATGATAACTCAACGAAGTGGCTTACCATTGTGCAAATTTATTGCAAGGACAAAATACTTTTGTGTTGTCAGCATTTAGTCGAGTGATGAAAACGATCGGTGAAAGTAAAGGCGCAGCCCTACAAGTGCTCGCTTTCGCCACTGCTGGCGAAAGTGTCTCCAACTGAGGGAGCTCTAGGATGACGAGGGTATCTTGGCCTACTCCACCGCGCTGGCAGGACATCTCGGAAGAGATGAGTGGAGCCGATCATCGGTCGAGCGAGCGTATTGACGAAGTAACCGGATTACTGGATCACACACGCACGCACACCTCGTTCCAGGGCAGGTTGAGGTTGAAACCGGTGCCGGGGCCATTCCCCACACAGTCGAATTCGGACTTGCGCAGGTTCGGCCAGAACTTGGCGTGCTCGTAGCGGTGCCACGAGAAGTAGAGAACGCTGCCACCGCAAACGACACAGAGGGGAGAGCACAGCGCCACTAGAGAACGGCGCCAGCAACCACGCCACGATGCGCAACTGTTAAACCTGGGACCAAGTCGTCGGGATTGCACCCGGACTCGCCAGATCTCGGAAGCTAAGCGAGGGATGAGTCTGCATAGTTCCGGGATGAGCGACAACCACTCACGACCCACCTCTGATTAGCACGGTTGGCTACATACGATGCGAAAGTTCAACATCCATACAGGTCGCGATACAGGCTGCTGCTGCTGCTACAGCTGCTGCGGGGCTACATCGTGGGCAGCAGAGGGCAGCACAGAAAAAAACCTACTGTTGTGCTCTGCTTGTGCGCTCCCACGTCCGTGTTCTCCCTCCTTCCTCTCACCTCCCCACGCACGCATCGTGGATGCCGAGATCGGCGTACGTGGACTCGCGGAGTGACGGACGACTGACGTCGCCAGCTCTGCGAAACGTCGCGAGCGCCACGGCTGCTCGCGGCAGTAAACGGTAGGTACGGCCACGTTTACTCACAACAGGTTCACCGTTGTACTGGGCTACGCTCCCACGTCTATGCTCCCCAAGTTCACTAACCCGTGCGGACCAGCGTGGCAAAGCACGGCCGTATGATCCGTGTGGGCCGTACCACGAGGGGGAGGGCGTCACCCAGCAGTGGTTTGGTAGTGGGGCTGCATGCGTCGACGTTTAACCACGAACGTACTTGCGAGTCAGACGGCGGGTGCTGCTTCGCGCATACCTGGGGTCGTCCTCAAAGATGAACTGGGTTCCTTGGCCGTGGTGGATGTCCCAGTCCACGATGAGGATCCTGCACACGCGGCCATGGGAGCGGCTTAGCCGTGCTCGCCCACACTCCCCCACACTCGCTCACTCGCATGTTCTCACGTTCTCACACCCAAAGATCAAAGATCCTCCATATAGCCTCAATAGACTGTTGGGGCAAGTGCTGTTAGCGAGCACCTATGAAGGCCAGAACGGTACACGAGGGGGTGGGTGGCCAGCACCACGCCCGACCGCCTTTGTCTCCCTAGTGGCGATGTTTACACACCGCACCAGGTACTCATTTGAGGCTGAGTCAACCTAGGGGAGGCCCGGGACTGGTTCAGATAATCGTCACCGATGTTGGCCGTGAGCAGGAATCGAACCCGGGTCGCCAGGATTATAGCGCAGCGCGCTAACCGCTACACTATCACACCCACACGCACGAACACACGCATGCTCTCGCCACGCACCGTTGCAGCCCGTGCGTGCGTTTGGCGCGCTCCGCTGCGATGGCCACGTTGTTGAAGATGCAGAATCCGTTTGCCTCGTTCCTCTGGCTGTGGTGGCCAGGGGGTCTGGGTGACAGGGGGGGGTAGGGAGGTGTGAGCGTGAACGTTTTCTATTCATCGGTTAACCATCGCGATCAGCGGTCTGACAATCTCAACGCCTCATCATTGTACGGTCCCCGGCCCTCTTCGCTGCTCAGAGCAGTTCAGTCCAACGCTGTACGACCGAAGCTGCGATCCGCTGGACACAGACAGCAGGACCGGCAAGTGTGGAGAAAGTTGACAGCCGCAGCATCGGTGACTCCCCCACAACCACTCAGGTTAAGGGGGAGATGATGATGATGATGATAAAGACCTCAATCCAGAAGCACTGTGCAAGTCGCCCAAAACTCGTTCGTAGAAGATGAGTGCTTTTGTGCGCGCGTTTGCATTTGGCGTGTGCTTGTACGTGCGTGTACGTGTGTGCGCGCACGTAAGCGCGCGTGTGCGTATGGACTTTAGCGCGCGTCTACACACGTGCGTGTACGTGCATGTACCGACATGTGAGCACATGCGTGTACACCTGCGTGTACGTATGTGCGTCTGTGCGCATGAGGAGCGTGTGCATAGCGCAGCGGTAAACGCACTGCGCTACAAACTCGGCAACTGCTCACGACCAATGGCTGCGACGAATGTGTGACCCGGTCATGGGCCTCTTTGAGGTTGGCTCAGCCTGAGATTAGTACCTGGTGCAGTGTGTGTGTGTGAACATCAGCACTGTTGGAGACAAACCACCCACTTCTTTGCGCGCCGTGGCGGCTTTCATAAGTGCTCGGTAGCAGCACTTGCTCCAATAGCCTGGAAAAGGCTGTTGGAAGGCTGTTGAAAAAGGGTGGGGGGGGGTGGGTTGTCTTCATTTGCATGGGTAAGTGTGTGTGCGTGCGTGCGGACTGACCTCACAAGCGCGACCCCGTTCCTCACCGCGCCTGTGACAACGGCATCCATAAGCTGCAGGGTGGCGCCCAGCGCTAGCCGTGCGCAGGCGTACGTGTCCTGGAGACAGCAACGCAGGGTCCCGCATCAGGGGTCACACACAGACTCCACCACAACCACCGCAAACCACCACCGCCAATGCCGCCACCGCATCCACAACCACCATGATCACCACAATGACCACCACCACCACTTGGCTCAAGTTCAAGTTAATTTATAAGGTATAGCCCTGTGAGCCATTCGGCTCTTGAATCGAGTGCAACTGCAACAAACAAAAACATCCTCCACAATTTAGCGGTTTGTCAGCACTTTGGCGCAAGGCCGGGATGTGTCCCCCCCCCCCCCCCAATATTAAAATATGCTCAAAATGTCCCCCCAACATATTGCTATAAAATAGATTTCTGGTTATATGATTGTGGTTATGGTTGTACTTTCTTAATCCCTAATCTCTGCCATTACATACAATGAAACAAGAAAAGGTAAAAAATTTAAACAGCAATGGAATACAATACACTATTAGATCCCATGTGTTAGTGAATTTTTAAAATATTTTAGGCAGAAAATGGCAGGAAATTATTTTCAAATTTAGATTATTTTCTGGGGGGGGACCCCCACACCCCCTGGAAGATTTGGTCCCCCCCAATGTTGACTCCATGGCTACGGCCTTGCGCCTTGCTTTGGCGAGACGAAACGGAGCACAGTTCCACGCGCGTGCGGTGGGTACGTGGGGATCGCGTGCGACACCAGGGACGCACGCGGAACGTACCGGGTGGAAGAATGCATCCATGGTTTTGTCGGAGAGGGCCTTCAGCTCCTCAAGCGACATCGACACCGTGGACTCCACCAATGCCAGATACTCGGCACTGTAGGGCCATAATAGCATCATCATCGTCGTCATTGTCAGATCGATCTTCAACACCATCATCAACATCGTCAAGAACAAAGATCCCCCGTAATAGCCTTAACAGTGCTCTTAGTGAGGTCCTACGAAGGCCAGCATGGCGCACGAGGGTGTGGGTGGTCAACACCAGGCCCGGCTGCCTTTGTCTCCCTCGTGGAGATGTTTACACACTGTACCAGGTACTCATTTGAGGCTGAGTCGACCTCGGGGAGGCCCACGACCAGTTTAGATAATCGTCACTGGTGTTGACCGTGAGCGGGAATCGAATGCGGGTTGCCGAGTTCGTAGCGCATAGAGACAGCACACTGGGGCTGACGCATGCGGAATGGGGACAGCTGCAGATGAAGGATGGTTCGGTATTGGCTTTGCGGCGTCGCGCGGAAACAAAGCCGGATACCCCTGCCTCAGCGGAAATCTCGCGGTTCGTTATTCACAACAGACTTTTGATGCGGTGGGATGGGGTCACCCAAAATTAGTACCTGGTGGTCCCCACTTCCCTACGGGGTAAGCTGACGCGTGCGGTGCATGACACGAAGCTACTGCACCTTGGACGTCGTAAGATGCAGTTGACCTTGCAGTGAGATTTTTACTGGCCTGGAATGTCGATCGATGTCCAGCACCTGGTCACGGGTTGCACGGAGTGCACGCGCCGGAAGCCCCCATTGCTAAAAATCTCAGACCCCCATTCAGTTCATCACGGTGTCCCGTATCAACGAATTGGTCGCGCTAGATATTCTGGGTCCCTTTTCCGTGTTCACAAAAGGATAACACATTTCTCCTTGTGGGGGTGGAATATTTTACCAGGTGGCCAATGCATTGGCTGTTACCGGACCAGACAGCTGCATCCATTGCGGACGCATTCCTACATGGCTACGTGTTGGACAAGAGTGCACCAGAACAGCTTCTCACTGACCAGGGTAAAAAATATTCATCTAAACTGCTGCGCGAGGTGTGTGACGCATTGAGTACTAAACAGATTAGAACGTCCCCATACCACCCTCAAACGGATAAAATGGTAGAACGCTTGAATAGGACGATAACATCTATGCTCTGTCAAGGAGTGAATGAGGCACAAACGGACTGGGGCTTGTATGTCCCAGGGGTGCTGGCAGCGTACAGGATGGCTCCACATGCCTCTACGGGGTTTTCCCCTTTTTTCTCATGTACGGGCAGGAGCATGAGCCCCCCATAGAGGCTCAACTGGGTACGGCTTCAAAGAAACAAATATGGGACGTATCCGTGCCGCTGCAGGTTACGCTCGGCCGGGTGTCGGAGGCACGTGCTGCGGCGAGGTAAAATACTGCCAGGGCACAAGCCGCTAACGAGAAGAACGCAGGGCGGCACGAGCGTGTGCTTCCTTGAGCTGTCGGTGACATAGAGCGTGGTTGCATTGTCTGCAGGTGCCGCTGCGGACATCACCTAAGTTGCACTGCCCGTGGTGGGGATTGGTCGAGATTGTGGAAGTGAAACGGCCGCAGTGCGTGTGTGTACAGGCGGGCTAGGGCAGTCGTCCAAAGTAATTGTGCGACCCAGGAGGTGCGTTGTGCCGTTGACAGAATGAGACCCTCTGAGTCTCCGAGGCCCACAAGACTCCGCCACGTGCGATGGACCGGCATCAAGGACCCGGCCGAGAACTTTACGACTGCGATTGTCGATTCCTAAGGCCAAGCGTTGTGTTTTTTTTGTGTGTGTACCCCGGTGCGGTTGCTGTTGTTTCGCGTGAGGTGGCTTGCACCACTCACTCGTCATGTGTTGATATATAAGGTAGATGCGTGGGAGACTCGGGGCTGTTGCAGTGGGATCTCCGCCTGATGTCAAGTGAACGTGTCTTCAATAAAGTGCCATCTCAAGAGAAGTGTGTCAAGTCGTCATGACACTGGTGCTGGTGTGGTGCCGGTGTGGTAGACTCACCCTTGTGGTGCTGGTGTGGTGCTGGTGTGGTGAACATACACCTGTTGTGCTGGTGTGGTGCTGGTGTGGTGCTGGTGTGGTGCCGGTGTGGTGGACTCACACCTGTGCACCAGCAGGATGTCCTCGGGCGTGGCGTGGCGAGGCTGCATGAGCAGGCAGCGCTCCGTGAGGCCCCGCTCGGCGAGCCGCTCCGCCACCACGCTCAGCCGCTCCGGGACCTCGATGGCGCACACCGGGCTGAGGAGGGGGGGGGGGGTGGTAAGGAGGGGGGGTGGTTCACATCAAATTATTCATACCCCCCCCCCACCCCGTGATTAGATTCTCACAGTCCTAGCTCTGTGCGGTTTTGTTCTCACCACTTAGCCTAATGGGCTCAATAGCATCTCATTTACCATCGGATGTCGGTCCAGGGGGTTGGCAGTGAAGGGTGTGAGAGCGTGCGACGTTCATCTGAGCCGGTTCTAGGCCTCCACGTGGTCGACTCAGCTTCAAATGAGTTCCTGGTGCGGTGTGTAAACATGGCCACTAGGGAGATAAAGACGGCCAGGCGTGGGGCTGGCCACCTACCCCCCTCGTCTGCTGTCCTGACCTTCGTATATGCGCTCACTTGCCTCAACAGTCTGTGAAATGCAAGTGCGTGCAGACGGAATGTGCGTGTGAGACTGTATGCGAGGTATGGAATGATGGGTCTGTGTGGGAGGAGTATGCGTGAGGGGTGTGTGCGTGTGTGTGGATTGACAGGGAGGGTGTGTGCATGTTTAGGCCAGTCACCTCATCAGTCAACCCATGGTACCTGGGTCTGTCATGTGACCTCCTGTCAGCGAGCCTTCGATGCTTCACGTGGCCTCAAAGTGCAGCTAGCACAAGCACCGTGGTGAGGGGTGTGTATGTTGAGGTGCGTGGAGTGTGTGTGTGTGGATTGAGGGTGTGTGTGGATTGAGGGTGTGTGTGTTTAGGTGTGTGGAAGGTGCAGCCTTACTTGTCCCACAACAGACAATGCTGCATCATCCGTGCATCGTATAGCAGGGCCGTGGCTCCACCTGGGCACAAATAAAGACAAAGATCCCCCAGTATATCCGTAAGTCTCTTGGGGCAAGTGCTGTTAGCGAGCACCCATAAAGGTTGGAACGGCACACGAGGGGTTGGTGGCCAGCCACAGGCCCGGTCGCCTTCGTCACCCTCGTGGCGATGTTTTACACATCGGGCTAGGTACTAATTTGAGGTTGAGTCGACCATGGGGAGGCCCAGCACCGGTTAAGATATTCGTCACCGGTGTTGGCCGTGAGCGGGAATCGAACTCGTGTCGCCGGGTTCGTAGCGCAGCGCGCTAACCGCTACACTACCGCGACCCACACACCTGGGCACACACAGACACAGACACACGCAGGCTTGAGTACCTGCAGGGCAATGTCAAACTCACGTGCTCTGTCAAACATCCTTCATTACACGCATACGCTTGCTATCATTATACATGCTCCCCCACACCGCATCTGGCGGCTGCCAGATTTGTGGCCGCCTAATGATGATGCCCATTTACACTATGAGACCTCATTTACCAGTGGCAAAATATAGTTATATATATAGTAATAGGTTTTCTACCAGTTGAAAGGGTAAAAACCTATGCTTACCCCGAGCTCTCAATACTCTTGATAGTGCACTGCTTTTGAGTTGTACGCCTTTTGGCGTCATCTGGTCCAACACCAATGGAGACTAGGCTCTAAGAAAAGCCGTCTCGGGTGTGGACCAATCAACTTCAAGGACAGTGCAAATCATTATCAGAGTTGTTTTCTTTTTGTTTGCATTTTGACTGCTTGTGTTGTGGTTATTGCAAACATGATGCCTTGTATAAAGGTGTCAGTTTTGTACCAGTTGAAATGGTAAAAACCTATTACTAGATGATGCCCATTGCCATGACTGGCGAAACGTCGTACTCAAGATGGTAAATGTTGTGGCTTTGCTCTCCAACACAACCGGTGGCCCGTTCTGTTTACGTGACACAAACCTTACTAATTGGCCGTGTCGGGTGGTGGCGGGTTGAACGACACATTTATGTATTTACGCGATCTAACCCCAAAAAAGAAACCTCTTACACTGGTCAACACACTTGTTCTGGCATAAGGTATTCCAACGGTTTTAAGGTAATTTTGGGGTTTTTGAGATATCAAATATTCCATTTTCAATAAAAACTGCAGAAGAAAAATATTAAATAAATATGGATATCTACATAAAATGATATTATAAACACACTATCCTAAAAATACAGCACCATATTTTAACACTAAAGCAGTCACTGACTCGCAACAACTTGCAATCATAAGTGACATAGTTAATCTTGGGTAAAATCAATGAAAATGGGGTATGATGGAGCAAATCTGAGATCAGATTTGGAATCAGCACCCTGAAATTAGTCTAAAGCAGCTGCAAAAGTCCAGACCAGAACATTTTTGTTGTTGACCAGTGTTATGGAAACCCCGAATGTCGAAATGAGGTCCAAAGTTGTTGTTGTGTTGACAGCATGCACTGTCAGAGGGCACGCGTGGCTGATGAGATGTGTAAACAAGATCACTCTCATTCCAACAACCCTGCTGCTGCTGCTGCTCGGGCGGCGATGCACATCCAACAACAACAACCAACAACAACAACGCCACGCGTTCCGGGTCCAATGTACACGCGGCGCACACACGCCGCCCATCATTGTGTTGCTTCAGGTCAACAACACACGCGCATCGAGTGTTGTTGACAGACTGCGGGCGTTGTTGTTGTTGCGAGTACCACGCACACAACACGAGAACACAACGCACACAACACGAGAACACAACAACAACAACAACAACACGGGAACACAACAACAAGACAACAAGAACACGGCGACACGACGGTCAACTCACGGACCTTGACACTTTTGGTAAAACTCAGGGCAAGCCACAGCCCCCCACCCCTCACTCTCTCTGTAGTTGGTCAGCCCCCCCCCACCCCCCACACAGCCCCCCCAACCCCCCACACAGCCCCCCCCACCCCCCACACAGCCCCCCCCCACACAGCCCCCCCCACACACAGCCCCCCCACACAGCCACCCCCCCCCACACAGCCCCCCTCACCCCCCACACAGCCGCCCCCCGACACCCCACACAGCCCCCCCCCACACAGCCCCCCCCACACACAGCCCCCCCCACACAGCCACCCCCCCCACACAGTCCCCCCCTCCACAGAGCCCCCCCCCTCCACACAGCCCCCCCTCCACACAGCCCCCCCCTCCACACAGCCCCCCCCCCTCCACACAGCCCCCCCCCCTCCACACAGCCCCCCCCACACAGCCCCCCCCCCACACAGCCCCCCCCCCACACAGCCCCCCCCCCACACAGCCCCCCCCCTCCACACAGCCCCCCCCCACACAGCCCCCCCCCTCCACACAGCCCCCCCCCCCCACACAGCCCCCCCCCTCCACACAGCCCCCCCCGACACCCCCCACCCCCTCACCTGACCCCGGGGACCGGGACCCCAACTCGACCTCCATCGCGCGCGATTCCGGCCGTAAAGAAACTCCGCGGGTGACGTCACTCGCGGAGTTTCGCGATGACGTCACGTCACAGCGTTCAGAACCCGCCGTCAAAAACACCCCCCCCCTCGCGTCTATCGCCCGTGGGTGACGTCACGGCTCGCGGGTGTTGTCGAACGATTGCGTCATTCGCAAGCTTCCGGGTTTCTGACGTCACTCCGCGGGAGACTATTTGGAAGGTGACGTCACGTGTCAGCCACCTGAGTTCAAGTTTCATTTATTTGGAATAAACCTGTGAGCCATTCGGCTCTTGAGTCGGGTGCAACCGCAACAAACTAAATATGAACAGAGAACATCTTAAAGCGACGACGCGCAGCAGAAACATCCTGGATAAACCAGCAAATCTTCCAGAAAAAACCCCCCACCGTGTTACAACGCGGTGTGCAATCTCGGTGGAGATTCCCACGTGGGCAGGGCCCGGACTGGCCATGGGGCAGCAGTCCAGAGGGCGAATGCCCGGGTGGGCCGGGCCATCACGAGGTGGACCGGTCTGTGTGGTGAAATTGCAAATGTGATCAGAGTTAAAAAAAAAAAAATTCACCAAAAAATATTTTATAATCTCGAATGTGTACGCTTAATTTGCTTATGTACGCAGGTCAGTTGACATTAAGTCCTCATAGGGGCCGTCCATAAATGACGTCCGCGATTTTTAACCCCCCCTCTCCAAAACCATATTTCCATTTTGAAAATAAAAAATGCTTCCAATCACTTTAAACTATTGTCATTGTAGTGCGTATTTAATGTGGTGCTGCACTCTGATGTTGTAGGAGAAAACATTTATTAAAAAGGAGGCGTTGGAAAGCTGAAATTTAGCATAAAATGCACTTGAAAATATTCAACGTCTATCTAAAACTGCAGATGTTCAGAATATGATATTGGAATTCTCTTATAATTATAAAATATTAAACGTAATTATAACTTTAAAAAAATGGAAAGTACAATTATCGATTTAAAGCTTTCGTGACTGCAGGGATTAATCTTCTTGGTTCTTTCATTAAAGTCACGTAGAAGGAAAATAATAAAAATAAAACATAATAAAATAATTCTCACGACGTTTCGGCCACAACGCAAGCAGCCGTCTTCAGGTGGAGAACAGGTCTGTCGAGAAGGCAGAGTCTGAATGTCACGCGCCAGGCTTGGAGCGACTATTTATGCTGGGTTGGAGGGGCGAAGAGCGTCTTGACAAAATCATTTGCATATCAAGAGGAATTTAGCATATTTATGGAAAATGCAGATATGCGGTTAGTACTAATTTGTGAAATGCGTAGGATGTTTGGCGAGGGGTTTAAAGTCATTATGCTCATGCATTATGCAGGATTAGCAGTATCAAAGGGAGGGAGTAAGGTTAGAATTAATAAAGGGAAGGAATGTTAATAATATGGGTCGCAGCAACTAATATGCTTATAGACTATACATTGTAATATTACACTATGTATTATTCTACCCAACCAACTGTATACCACACTGCTATATATTCACTATAAAATTACGATACTATATATTACCTTATACATTGTATTAAACATTACACTTTAATACTATTTATTATTATACAATATGCTATACACTATACCATTGACCGTCGCGTGAAAGGTACTAAGAGGAAGCAACGAAATATGTCAATGGGAGAGTGGTGGTAGGAAGCTTGCAGCGGAGCAAAGAATCCATTCCCTGCGGAGATGTCAGTGAGTGGACTGCGGTCTGAAAGTCACCATAAACGTGAACACAATCAGTTAAGATCCGAAATGGTTTATTACGTCCTTCCAATGATTGCTGAGCCAGAAATTGTCTCTGTGTTTGTATATGTGGATCGCTTCATGGACGAATCTCTCATGGTAGCCGGATGGCTTGCAGAGAACCTCTGTCTTGGATAAGTCAATATCATGTGAGTCCACTGAATTGACATAATGCACGGGCATAATGACTTTAAACCCCTCGCCAAACATCCTACGCATTTCACAATTAGTACGAATCGCATATCTGCATTTCCCATAAATATGCTAAATTCCTCTTGATATGCAAATTATTTTGTCAAGACGCTCTTCGCCCCTCCATCCCAGCATAAATAGTCGCTCCAAGCCTGGGGCGTGTCATTCAGACTCTGCCTTCTCGACAGACCTGTTCTCTTCTCGCTTGCGTTGTGGCCGAAACGTCGTGAGAATTATTTTATTATATGTTTATTATTTTATTATTTTCCTTCTACGTGACTTTACCGAAAGAACCAGGAAGAAGTGCAATTATAATAATCATATATTCATTCCACAGAATGAAAATCCCTGGGAGAATCATTAGAATCAAAATGTTGAATAACAATTATTCAAAACATTGACAAAATGTACGCTTCTCCATTCTTCCATGGAGAAGCAAAATGCTCCTTCATGGAATAATTAAAAGTGACCTTAGTAGATTAAAATAGTTAACAATGAAAATTAATCCAAATTAGTGTTGTTACACATCGTCACAAATGTTTGACCCCCCTCCCCCCCTTACCCTTAGGTGCGTGACGTCATTTATGGTAGGCCCCATATTCGGCAGCCCCCAAAGATACATCTTCATCGGCCCATTTGTGTTTTTGTGGGCCAGTCCAAATGGGCCAATGAGATCGCACGGCAATTTGGGCCGCTTTGAAATGCCCTGGGCCGATTTTTTTTTTACTCCGTCCGCCACTGCACGTGGGTGGATGAATGGACGGCTTGTGTCACGTCAGTTTTAAACGTTAGTAGCGCTTATTGTTGCTGGCCGCTCGGCGTTTTGTGGAGGTCTTTCGGCCCGTGTGCAGCAACCGTGATAGCAAAAAAATAATGTGGCAGTGCAGTAAAACCCATTGTCCTGTACTATGGGGCCGTCCATAAATGACGTCACGCGATTTTGGACGATTTTTGGTCCCCCCCCCCCGTCGTCACACAGCGTCACAAAAAGTCAGACCCCCCCCTCAAATATGACGTCACAAAGCTCTACCCCCCCCCCCCAAATAAAACATGCTTCAAATCGATTTAAACTATTGTCATTGTAGTGCGTATTTAATGCGGCTCTGCACTCTGATGTTGCAGGAGAAAACATTTATTAAAAAGTATATTTAATTAAGTAGAACGTCTTGTCTATATTTATTTAAAGTTGCGCATTTTTACGTGACGTCGTATTTCTCAACCCCACCCCCCTTCGTCACACATCATCACAAATGTCTGACCCCCCCCCCCCCCGCAGGTGCGTGACGTCATTTATGGACGGCCCCTATGCGGTATTGTCCATGCTCCCTCCATCAAGAACCCGTACACCTGAGGGCGAGGCCAGGGAGGGGATGAGACGGGGGTCCTGGCCGCGGGTGCACAGCTCTCAGTGTCAATCCACTGCTGGATGAGGGCCTCCCGACGCCGTGCGGGTGGTGGAGGGAAGGGGGTTATCCTGGGACCCATACTTCATCACTCGGGCCCGTGCGGGCTGGTGACAGCGGGGAACCGTAGAAGTACTGTACAACCACAGTGGCCGAGGCAATTCGTCTTGTGCGCGCCAGGTGGCGCCACGCCTTCACTCAGCACCACAGTGGCTCGATATCTTGGATCTCGGAAGCTCAGCGGGGCTTGAGCCTGGTGGCTAATTATGGAAATCCACCCGGTAATAGCAGTCGGGTGTAGGCTTGGGCTGCAAAGTAGACAGGACTTCAACAGATCTTTGAATCTATCTGTGCGGAGTTATCAGTGTTTCCCCGTGGCCGTGTTCCTGATTCTTCCCACACGAATCCAAACTCCTTAGGGGCCGTCCATAAATGACGTCACGCAACCTAGAGGCGGGGGGGGGGGTCAGAGATTTGTGACGATGTGTGACGAAGGGGGGGGGGGGGGTTGAGAAATGTGACGTCACATCAAAATGCGCAATTTTAAATAAATATAGACAACACGTTCTACTTAATTAAATTGACTTTTTAATAAATGTTTTCTGCTACAACATCAGAGTGCAGCGCCACATTAAATACGCACTGCAATCACAATAGTTTAAAGCGATTTGAAGCATGTTTTATATTGGGGGGGGGGGGCAGAGCTTTGTGACGTCATATTTGAGGGGGGTCTGACTTTTTGTGACGCCGTGTAACGATGGGGGGGGGGGGGTCAAAAATCGTCCAAAATCGTCATTTATGGACGGCTCCTTATCCACGCATCTCCGATGTAGCAACAGCGTCCTGCTGCCAGCGAGTGTTGCGCTCATGAATACGTGAAGGGGTCGCAGTCCAGTGCCACACGATCAACTCACATTGTCCGATGCTGCTGCTCCTGCTGCGTTGGCAGTGCGGTGCACAGAGACAACCAACAACCAGACTCAGCACATTTGTCAATTCTAGATTTGAAGCTTTCGTGACTGCAATGATTCACAGATGCCCAGTAGGGGCAGGTAGGGACGTGACAACAACAAACATTACAAAGACATTATTTATTATAGTGCAAAGTACAAGAAAGGCAACCAAATCACACAAAAATATACAAATTCAACTTAACCATACCCGTCCTGCCAGGCAAAGCTAAGGGGCCGTCCATAAATGACGTCACGCGATTTTGGACGATTTTTACCCCCCCCCCTCGCGTCACACGGCGTCACACAAATTCAAACCCCCCCTCAAATATGACGTCACAAAGCTCTGCCCCCCCCCCAAAATAAAACATGCTTCAAATCGCTTTAAACTATTGTCATTGTAGTGCGTATTTAATGTGGCGCTGCACTCTGATGTTGTAGGAGAAGACATTTATTAAAAAGTATATTTAATTAAGTGGAACGTGTTGTCTACATGTATTTAAAGTTGTGCATTTTGATGTGACGTCACCTTTCTCCCCCCCCCTCCTCGTCACACATCGTCACAAATGTCTGACCCCCCCCCCTAGGTGAGTGACGTCATTTATGGACGGCCCCTAAGTGATGTAGTAACTATTTTTCAGAAGCGACCTGGCCACAAATAACAACACTGTGGCCTTACAAGATTATTCGACGTTTCGGAAAATGACCTTTCTTCAGAGCAGAGACACAAATGGGTGATGTGTTGTTGACGACTCAAATGTTATGGTGGTATCAGACGACAGCGAATTTCAATTCCTAATGAACACACCAGGTGGCGCCCCTCAACCAGCAACACAGTCGCCAGCAACGCGCCCGGTGTCCGTGATGACAACGTGGGAGTTCCACGTGCATCTTGTGTAAGGGGCCGTCCATAAATGACGTCACGCACCTAGGGGGGGGGGGGGTTGAGGAATGTGACGTCACATCAAAATGCGCAACTTTTAATAAATATAGACAACACGTTCTACTTAATTAGACTTTTTAATGAATGTTTTCTCCTACAACATCAGAGTTGCAGCGCCACATTAAATACGCACTACAATGACAATAGTTTAAAGCGATTTGAAGCATTTTTTATTTGGGGGGGGGGGGGCAGAGCTTTGTGACGTCATATTTGAGGGGGGTCTGACTTTTTGTGACGCCGTGTAACGAAGGGGGGGGGGGGGTCAAAAATCGTCCAAATCGCGTGACGTCATTTATGGACGGCCCCTAACCAGGTCAGAAGGCAAGAGACCCGGATGAAAGCAAAATCGCACAAATACAAAGTACAGCAACGTAGCGACCAGAATAAAGAAACAACCGAATAGAATTTCGATTTAAAGCTTCCGTGACTGCAGGGATTCATCTTATTGGTTCTTTCGGTAAAGTCACGTAGAATTGAAATAATAAAATAATACAAATAATACAAATAAAACATAATAAAATATTTTTCACGACGTTTTCGGCCACAACGCAAGTAGCCGTCCTCAGGTGGAGAACAGGCCTGTCGAGGAGACAGTCAGACATGTTCTCCACCTGAGGACGGCTACTTGCGTTGTGGCCGAAACGTCTTGAGAATTATGTTTTATTTTTATTATTTTAATTCTACGTGACTTTACCGAAAGAACCAAGAAGATGAACCGAATAGAAATCAGAGCAGACAACCAACGAGAGAGAAAATGAAATGCACTGCAGCAATGTAGCAGAGACCCCCTCCCCTCTAACACACAGAGATCCCCCATCGTAGGCTTCACAGACTGCTGGGGCAAGTGCTGTTAGCGAGTAGCACCTATGAAGGCCGGCACGGTGCAAGAGGGGGCCGGTGGCCAACACTGCGGCGATGTTTACACACCACGCCGGGTACTAGTTTGAGGCCGAGTCGACCTAGGGGAGTCCCAGAATCGTCACCGGTGTTGGGCGTGAGCGGGAATCTAATTCGGGTCGCCGGGTTCGTAGCGCAGCGCGCTAACCACTACACCACCGCTCCCCCCCCCACACACACACAGACACACAGATACACAGACACACAGAAACACAGACACACAGACACACAGATACACAGACACACAGATACACAGACACACAGACACACAGATACACAGACACACAGATACACAGACACACAGATACACAGACACACAGACACACAGATACACAGACACACAGACACACAGATACACAGACACACAGACACACAGACAGACACACAGATACACAGACACACAGATACACAGACAAACAGACACACAGATACACAGATACACAGACCACTCACGCAGACACCGCAGGGAGCCCCGAGATGCAGACGGCAGGGGTCAGTGTTGTCCCAGAGCTGGGCTGGGAAGCATTTCTGCGCGTGCAAGGTGTATATAAAATAATTAATTATTATTATTACAACAATAGAGAAAAGACAAAGATCTCCCCGTATAGCCTTAACAGACTGTAGGGGCAAGTGCGGCTAGCGAGCAGCACCTATGAAGGGGGTGGGTGGCCAGCGCCACGCCCGACCGCCTTTGTCTCCCCAGTGGCGATGTTTACACACCGCACCAGGCACTCATTTGGGGCTGAGTCGACCTGGGGGAGGCCCGGAACCGGTTCAGATAATCGTCACCGGTGTTGGCCGTGAGCAGGAATCGAACCCGTGTCACCGGGTTTGTAGCGCAGCGCGCTAACCACTACACCACCGCTCCCCACAAATGACAACAATAGACACAGACCCAGCGACACACACAGCGACACACACAGCTGAGTGCTGTAAGCGAGCGCCGGATGAAGGCCGGCACGGCGCACCACGAGGTGGTGTGATGTGGACAGTCAACGACGTCCGGCCGCCTTTGTCTCCCCCACCAACCCCACAAAGCGCGCACGTTTACCGGGTCTTCATTTCAGGCTGAGTCGCCCGAGAGGAAGGACCCCGGACCGGTTCAGATAATTATCGCTGTGCCACTGATGCCGGCCGTGAGCGTGAATCGGTGCACCACCGCTCCCCCCTTCACATCTGCGCATACGAATTGACACGCTCTCGTATGGACCCGCACGCGTCTCGTCCACTCGCAGGCGTCTAATAAAGCAGCAGGCTTCAACTTCAACGGTGGCACGTAGAGAACATTAATATGACGTCTAGACCAAGGAGATCGACATAACGCGCGTTCCACGCAGCCACACACACAAAGACAAAGATTCCCCCGTGGAGCCTTAACCGACTGTCGGGGCAAGTGCTGTTAGCGAGCACCTATGAAAGCCGGCACGGTACAGGTTATCAACACCACCACCACGCCCGACCGCCTTTATCTCGCCAGTGGCGATGATTTTACATACCGAACCAGGTACTGTTTTGAGGCTGAGTCGACCTAGGGGAGGACCAGGACCGATTCAGATAATCGTCACCGGTGTTGCTTGTGAGCGGTGCGCGCCCACTGCACCACCGCTCCCCACACGCACACAAAGACGCGACGACACGCACGACTCCACGATCACACACCGCCAACCACCCCCCAGACACACCACCACTTACATACACCCATACACACCACCACTTACATACACCCATACACACCACCACTTACATACACCCATACACACCACCACTTACATACACCCATACACACCACCACTTACATACACCCATACACACCACCACTTACATACACCCATACACACCACCACTTACATACACCCATACACACCACCACTTACATAAACCCATACACACCACCACTTACGTGCACAACGCCCAAGGGCGCCCGTGTTGAGGCTGAGTCGACCTACGGGAGGTCCAGGAGCGGCTCAAATATTCTTCCACTGTCCTATCAACATAAAACACCCCTCGTGCAACCAACACCCCCACGGACACCCAAATCCACCTCCATAGCAACCCGAACCCACTCCACCACAAAGACAAAGCTCCCCCGGACAGGCACAGCAGACTGTTTGGGGCAAGTGCTGTTAGCACGAGGGGATGGGTGGCAAGCACCACGCCCGACCGCCTTTGTCTCCCGAGTGGCGATGTTTAACCACACACCGCACCAGGTACTTGTTTGAGGCTGAGTTGACCTAGGGGAGGCCCAGGACCGGTTCAGACAATTGTCGCCGGTGTGGGCCGTGAGCGGGAATCGAATTCGGGTCGTCGGGTTCGCAGCGCAGCCGATGCCACCGCTCCACCCGACAGCGGACAATCTCACACACACCCACACACCCCATCACCACACAACCCATGACAACCCCCCGACCCTCAACACCTCTACCCCCCACAACCCAATCCTCCCACAACGTTACACCACCCACACCCACCCTCCACCACCACCCATCCCCACCCTACATCATCCACCCACACCTACCCTCCACCACTCACCCTACACCACACCCACCCTACACCACCACCCACACCCACCCTACACCATCACCATCACCCACACCTACCTTCCACCACTCACCCTACACCACCACCCACACCCACCCTACACCACCACCCACCACACCCTACACCACCACCCACACCCACCCTACACCATCACCATCACCCACACCTACCTTCCACCACTCACCCTACACCACCACCCACCACACCCACCCTACACCACCACCCAGCCCACCCTACACCACCACCCACACCCACCCTACACCACCCAGCCCACCCTACACCATCCACCCACACCCACCATACACCATCACTAACCCTACACCACCATCACTAACCCTACACCACCACCCACCCTACAACACCCCCCACACCCACCGTACCCCACCACCCCATCTCACACCCCCACACCCTCTCCGCATTGTTTATGCTAATACTGCGGGGGGCGGGGGGGGGCGAGTAGGGGGAGGGCCGCAAGGAGGGGGGAGGGGCGCGAGCAGGAGGAGGGGGAAGGGGCGCGAGGAGGAGGGGGGAGGGGCTCCCCCCCCGCCTCGCACGCGCTTTGCCATTTTGCGTGGAGAAGAGCGGCAGGAGCGGAGCGGAGAGATCCGCGGCGAGAGAACAGAGAGAGGGAGAGAGAGGAGGGGAGGGGAGAGGGAGGAGAGAGGCAGGCGAGAGGGAGACACGATACGAGGGACAGGGCGCGAGAGAGAACGACGAAGGACGCGAGTAGAAGGACGAGGAGGGAACGAGGAGGAGAGAGAGGAACGAGAGGAGACGCCGCCGGGTGACCGCGCTCCCCCCGCGCTGCTGCTGCTGCTGCGCTCGCTGCCATGGCGAGCAGCGGGGGGCGGTAGCGATGGAGGCGGACGTGGAGGTGCAGGAGGGATCCGTGCGGCGCTAGCGGCCACCTCGCCCCCGCAGACATGGATGCTCTGGTTCTCGCCTGGACTCTGGCGTTCTCGCTCTGCGCTCCGCTCTCTTTGTTAGCCTCCTCCTCATCCTCATCCTCCCCGGGGCCGGGCTGGCGCGACGCGGCCAGCGGAAAGGAGGCGATGGCGCCGCGCTGCGCCCTGCCGCCCGACGGTGCCCCCCTGCTCGTTTACGTGCGCGCCCTGCTGCCCCCGAGGACTGCCCCCCCCGGCGCCGCCAACCGCACCGCGCGCCCGCACGGCCGCGGCTGCGCGCAAGCGAGGACCCCCCTCGCGCACCCCGGCTCCCTCGGGACGGTCCCCTTGGTCGTGCGCGCGTCCGCGCCGCCCTGCGTGGCGCGGGGCCGCCGCTTGCTGAGCCTGAGGGCCGCCCCCTACTCGCCGCAGGGGGAGCCCCCCCCTGGCTCGCCGTCCGAGGGGCCCCCCTGCGAGGCGAGGCGCGTGTCCGGGGACTCGCGCCTCGCCGTGGACGCGGCTAGGGGGGCCGTGTTCGCGCGCCGCGCCCTGTGCCGCGGGACCGCGCGGATCCTGCTTCACGCGCTCTGCCCGGGGCCCCCCGCGGTCCCGGGGTCCCTGGCTTCCCCGGAGTCGGCCCCCGGCTCCCGCGGCGGGGCGCTGCGCCGCCTCCCCGTGCTGCTCTCCCTGCGCGTGGCCGCGCCGTCTCCCGGCGCCGGCGGGGACGGCGAGGCCGAGCCGGAGCGGCCGGCGCCGCCGCCTCCGCGGAGGAGGAGACGGCGGAGGAGACGCGCCCGGGCGGCCAACAGCTACCCGCGCTTCCCGCGGAGTTCGTACGACGTGGTGATGGCCGAGAACCAGCCGCCGGGCACCGCGGTGGTGACGCTGGCGGCCAAGGACCCGGACGAGGGCGACGCGGGCCGCTTGGAGTACTCGATGACGGCGCTGGTGGACAGCCGGTCGGGGGACCTCTTCTCCATCGACAACGCCACGGGCGCCGTGGTGACGACGCGCGCCCTGGACCGCGAGAGCATGGCGCAGCACCAGTTCCGCGTGACGGCGGCCGACTGGGGCTCGCCGCGACGCACGGCCACGTGCGTGCTCACGGTGCGCGTGGCCGACATGAACGACCACGCGCCCGTGTTCGAGCAGAGCGTCTACCGCGACACGATCCGCGAGAACGTGGAGGAGGGCTACCCGGTGCTGCAGCTGCGCGCCACGGACGGCGACTCTGCGGACAACGCAAACATCCTCTACCGCATCGTGCGCGGCGACCAGAGCGTGTTCGAGATGGACACGCGCTCGGGCATGCTCACCACCAAGGGCGTGGTGGACCGCGAGCGCGAGGAGCGCTACACGCTCGTGGTGGAGGCCAACGACCAGGGCAAGGACCCGGGCCCGCGCAGCGCCACGGTCACCGTGGTGATCGGCGTGCTGGACGAGAACGACAACTACCCGCAGTTCGGCGAGAAGCGCTACTCGGCGGAGGTGCGCGAGGACGTGAGGCCGCACAGCTCGGTGCTCGCGGTGGCGGCGACGGACGCGGACAAGGACAACAACGCGCAGGTGCAGTTCAGCATCATCAGCGGCAACAGCCGCGGCCACTTCTCCATGGACGCAATCAGCGGCGTGGTGGAGGTCATTTCGACGCTCGACTACGAGCTGGAGCGCGAGTACACGCTGTGGGTGCGCGCCCAGGACAGCGGGCGGCCCACGCTCTCCAACAACTCGGGCATCGTGACCGTGCACGTGGTGGACGTGAACGACAACGCGCCCATCTTCCTGAGCACGCCATTCCAGACGTCGGTGCTCGAGAACGCGGCTCTCGGCCACTCGGTGCTGCACATCCAGGCCGTGGACGCCGACGCGGGCGAGAACTCGCGCCTCACCTACAGCCTCTCGAACCTGCCCGCCGCCTTCCCCTTCGCCATCAACAACGGCACCGGCTGGATCACCGTCGCCTCGGAGCTGGACCGCGAGGCCGTGGACCGCTACGAGTTCACGGTGGAGGCGCGCGACCACGGCTCTCCCAGCCTCAGCGCCTCGGCCAGCGTGAGCATCACGGTGATAGACGTGAACGACAACAAGCCCGAGTTCACGCACAAAACCTATCACGTGCGTCTCAACGAGGACGCGGCGGTGAGCACCAGCGTGCTCACCGTCACGGCCACCGACCGCGACAGCAACAGCGTCATCTCGTACCAGATCTCGAGCGGCAACACGCGCAGCCGCTTCGCCATGACGAGCCAGAGCGGAGGTGGCCTCGTCACCGTGGCGCTGCCGCTCGACTACAAGCAGGAGCGGAGATACGTGCTCACCATCACCGCGTCGGACGGCACGCTCGCCGACACGGCGCAGGTGAGCGGAGCGAGCGAGCGAGCGAGCGAGGAGTGGGACGCGCCGGTTGCTTCGTTCGTCGTTTGGGGGTCGCGAGGTTCAACGCCATCGCTCGCGGTCTCTTCGCTTCGGCCTTCAGTGACCGCTCTTCTTGCAGTCTCGTCATCATCATCACCACCTCCACCACCACCACCGTTAGGGTTTCGTTTGCCCTGTGGATCATCGACCTCTGGGTGCCGCTCCAATGTCCGTCTCTGTCACCTGCCCTCCTCCACCTTGCGCACCGTGTCCCGTCATCACGACCTCATCCAACGATTCCCAACCTCCAAATTGCTTGACCCTATCCTCCACCCTGAACACGTGTCCCACCCATCACAACCTGCTCGTCTTCTACAGCGCTTTCCTGCCACGGCCCATTCCCACCGGGGGTGATAAAGGTCAAAACGCAAGCAGCTTTGATGCCAGGAGATTAAGCAATTCTGGAAACACCCAAATCAATAGGCGACTAGCAGTAGCACGTTCATGCAGCAGGTTTCGAGTGCGATTCATGTAACCAGCGTGAGAAGGCAAGCGGCGAGGGATGAGTCTCGTTTGTGAGTCATCCGGATCGTCGAAACCACAACAGCAATATAAGCGACCAGAGCGAAACACACCTCGCAGCAGGCTGTTGAACAGTTGTACCTTATAAAGAAAGCAAGACAATAAAGTATTGTAGTATAGTAAGTATTGTAGTATAGTAAGTATTGTAGTGTCGAGTGTGAGATGATTTCACGACGCTGCTGCTGCTGCGTCTGCTGCCGTTGTCAGCGGTGCCAAAGAATCACCAACACCAATAATTCTACACTTTTGTTAATTATGTAAGATAGGCGACGTTTCGGGCAACGGCCCTTCTTCATAGCACGTGAATAGACGCAGTGTAGATGCGAGATGAGCTGTGACGACGAGCGGCTCTCGTATTGTCCACACGAGTACCAGCGGCCCATTCATCGAATCGCTCTCCTGCCACCACCGGTGCATGCCGAACCATCCCAGGTTGCTTACAGTAGTAACCTGGCCCGCCTCGCCCTGCTCATGGCGAGACGGGATGTGTGGGCTCCTCGACGGGGGAGACGTTGAGCCGTCCAACCTCGGTGAGCGGGAGGGCACCTCGTGTGCCCGGAGTGTACCCACCGCCGGCATTTGCTAAGCGAGTTTGAGCCCTGGTTAGTTACTCTTTGGTTATTTCGGTAAAGTCACGTATAAAGATAAAATAATAAATTAAATACTAGCATACGACGCTTCGATTGCAACACAAGCAATCATCATCAGGTATAAATGAAATAGAAACACAAATCTAGTATACTTAGAAATGTAATGTAATACAACAGAGAGTCGGATAACATAATAGCCAACACCCTATTGTTTTATCTCTCTCTCAAATTTAGCATTCTCAGGAAGAACGTAATCAACCAGGTAGGGTGTTGACTGTTATATTATCCGACTCTGTTGTATTACATTACATTTCTAAGTATACTAGACTTGTGTTTCTATTTCATTTATACCTGATGATGATTGCTTGTGTTGCAATCGAAACGTCGTATGCTAGTATTTAATTTATTACTTTATCTTTATACGTGACTTTACCGAAAGAACCAAAGAGTAATTCCTGCAGTCACGAAAGCTCCAAATTAAGTTTGAGCCCTGGTTAGTTCTCTGCAGCACTCGGATTCATTTATTTATTTCCAGTTTTCAGTCGCATTTATTTGGAATAACCCTGTGAGCAATTCGGCTCTTTGGGATGGGAGACAACCCACCTGGCACCGCGTCGGTTGACGCAGCCCTGAGCTGCGGGATGTTCAGTCGCGATAGCAGCTGCGTGGTGCATTGTTGAATGCATCTGTGCGGCGCTTGTGAGTTTCACCCGCCGCTCTCCGAGTTCTGTCCATTTGCCCCCCCCCCCCCCATCTCTCACGAAGCCCACGCCCGCACGTGCACTCGGTGCCATTGGTCAAACATCCCAAAGGAGTCGCAGGGCCATCCACGGAAGGGTTGTCTGGAGGCTTGGTGGCCGAATATTGTGCTGCAGTTGTTAGAGCATCGGGGCCTTTAATCCGTGGGTCTCCACGGCTCAAGTGTCGCCCGGTTCGGGCGAGAATACCGAAACTTGGGCGGGACCCTCCTGAAAAACCAAAGTCTTGAGCTTTCTTTGGGGCAATCGGACTAAACACGTGGAGTGGAATTCGTCACCTGTGCGAGGAGGTGGTCATGGAAGAGTAGGTGGTGGTGGAGATGGACGTGGTGGGTTGTCGTGGAGGTTAATGGTGGAGGTGGTGAGGAGGTGTTCGAGGTTTTGGAGACTCCTCTGCTTGGTGCATCTCGCTCAGTCTGCCACAGCCCTCGTTCTGCTGTTCTCATCCTTGCTCGTGATGGCAGCAGCAGCAGCGGCAATATGGTTCAGGAGCCACACACACACACGCCCATGTCGAGGTCTGCTGGCCACGACGAGAGGGCTTCAAGAGGAGAGAGAGGGAAGCATCTCTCTCCTCTTCCTGCTTAGTAGAAGGAGCGCAGACTACAGAGATTTACGAGACGGTGCACAGTGACGCTGCTGTTGCTGCTGTTGCTGCAGCTGTTGTTGCTGCTGCTGTTGATGCTGCTGTTGTTGCTGCTGTTGCTGCTGCTGTTGCTGCTGCTGCACCCCCCCCCCCCCCACCACGACTAACACCACTAGCACCATCACCGTCCCCCACTTCGCCAAAACTGCAATGGCCAGCGTGGTGATGTAATGATCAAAGGGGAAACCCCGCGAAACCGACACGGCCCGGAGAAGCCTTTCAACCCCGTCAGTGATAGTCCACTACCGCACAGTAACAACGACTAGGGGGGCTGGGCTGTACAGGGGACAAAGGCGCAGCTCTGCAATTACCCGCTGATCCCGCCACTGCTCGCGCCAATGCTGGGGATCTCCAGAGAGCCCCCCCCCACCCCCCTCCGTCCCCCCACCTTCAGAGGGGGAACTTTGGCCTCCTTCGTGTAGGTTGCCCAGGCGTCTTGGGAAGAGTTGGGAGTGCCCACACTTTACCCCACCGCACGCAAGCTGCCGGCCCCACTCACTAGTGGTGCAGTCTACGAATCTATGCTGCTGGCTGGGCAGAAGTGCCGTGGGGGGGGGGGAGATATGGGGGAGGGACGGATTTTAGAAACCTGAAGTGTTGTTTCAACGGCCACGCCAGGAGATCGATGCCTGTAATAACGGAGCAGCATGTATGTACTGTATGTGGAACTTCTTTCGCACCGTACGTAGCCAAACGCGCTAATCGGAGGTGCGGGGGAAGGACAACCGCAACCACCTCCTCTTGTTCCTTACCTCCAAGTTCTTTCCGCCATCCCCCTCCTCCACCTTTGCGCACGCGTCCCACCCATCACAACCTCCAAGTCCCGACCTCCGAGTTGCTTACCCCGCCCTCCAAACTCCACCTTTGCGCACGTGCACCACCTGTCACAAGCCTCCAGGTTGCCTGACCCACCCTTCCTTTCCCACGCTGTGCACACGCGCGCGTGTCGAACACGCGTGCGTGCCGTGCGTTGCAGGTGTTCGTGAACATCACGGACGCGAACACGCACCGGCCCGTGTTCCAGAGCTCGCACTACTCGGTGAGCGTGCACGAGGACCGCCCCGTCGGCAGCACCGTGGTGGTCATCAGCGCCACGGACGAGGACATGGGCGAGAACGCGCGCATCACCTACTTCATGGAGGACAACGTCCCGCAGTTCCGCATCGAGCCCAACAGCGGGGCCATCACCACGCTGGTGGAGCTCGACTACGAAGACCGCCCTACCTACACGCTCGCCATCACCGCCAAGGACAACGGCATCCCGCAGAAGTCCGACACCACCTACGTGGAGATCATGGTGAGCGACGTCAACGACAACGCGCCCAAGTTCCTGCGCGACCACTACCGGGGCTCGGTGCTGGAGGACGCGCCGCCCTTCTCCAGCGTGCTCACCGTGTCGGCCACGGACCGCGACTCGGGCCTCAACGGCCGCGTGCAGTACACGTTCCAGGGCGGCGAGGACGGCGACGGCGACTTCACCGTCGAGTCGACGTCGGGCCTCGTGCGCACCGTGCGCCGTCTCGACCGCGAGAACGTCGCCGTGTACAACCTGCGCGCCTTCGCCGTCGACCGCGGCTCGCCGCCGCTCAGGACGGCCGTGGACGTCGTCGTGACGGTGCTGGACGTCAACGACAACCCGCCCATCTTCGAGCTCGACGAGATCCCCATCTACGTGAAGGAGAACAGCCCCGTGGGCTCCGTGGTGGGGCACGTGACGGCGCGCGACCCCGACGAGGGCCCCAACGCGCAGGTCATGTACCAGATCATCGAGGGCAACATCCCCGAGGTCTTCCAGCTGGACATCTTCTCCGGCGAGCTCACGGTGCTCACCGACCTCGACTACGAGGCGCGCTCCGAGTTCGTGATCGTGGTGCAGGCGACGTCGGCGCCGCTCGTGAGCCGCGCCACCGTGCGCATCCACGTGGAGGACCAGAACGACAACAGCCCCAGCCTCAGCAACTTCGAGATCCTCTTCAACAACTACGTGACCAACAAGTCCAACAGCTTCCCCGTGGGCGTGATCGGCCGCGTGCCCGCGCACGACCCCGACGTGTCCGACCGCCTCACCTACGCCTTCGAGCGGGGCAACGAGTTCAACCTCCTGGTGCTGAACCGCTCGACGGGCGAACTGCGCCTGAGCAGCAAGCTCGACAACAACCGGCGCCTCGTGGCCGTCATGCGCGTCAGCGTCACAGGTGAGGCGCGGGCGAGCCTGTTGTGTGTGTGTGTGAGGGTTTGTGTGGGGTGAGGGTGTGTGGTGTGAGTTTGTGTGGGGTAAGGGTGTGTGGGGTGAGGGTGTGTGGTGTGTGTGGTGAGAGTGTGTGTGGAGTGTGTGTGTGGTGTGGGTGTGTGTGTGGGGTGAGGGTGTGTATGTGGTGTGTGTGGTGAGGGTGTGTGGTGTGTGTGTGTGGCGAGTGTCTGTGTGTGTGGTGTGAGTTTGTGTGGGGTGAGTGTGTGTGTGTGGTGAGGGTGTGGGGTGAGTTTGTATGGTGTGTGTGGTCAGGGTGTGTGTGTGGGGTGAGTGTGTGTGGTGTGTGTGGTGAGTGTCTGTGTGTGTGGTGTGTGTGTGTGTGGCGAGTGTCTGTGTGTGCGTTGAAGGTGGTATTGGCCACCCGTCCCCTCGTGCGCTGTGCCGACCTTCGTGGGTGTTCCCTAACAGCACTTGCCCCAACAGTCTGTCGTGGTGAGAGTGTGTGGTTTGCGTGTGAGGAGAGGGTGCGTGGTGAGGGCTAAGAGATGTGGCACGGGATGACCGCGGGGTCTGCGTTGCGGAAGAGAAGAGCCGCATTGATCTTAACCCAATCACGAACCCTCAGCCTGGACGCAAGGCCCTAGCACTGACCCTAAGCCTCACACTTAGCCCTAACTCTGGCCATACCCCGGACCTTAACCCTAAACTCCAACCCTGACCCTAATGAGATCCTGAACCCTAGCCCTCAATTCTATCCCATCCCTTAACAAGGGGACCCTAGGCCCTAACTTTCGCCCCTAATACTAACACTAGCCCTAACACTGTCCCTAATGGGCCGTCCATAAATGACGTCACGCATCTAGGGGGGGGGTCAGACATTTGTGACGATGTGTGACGGGGGGGGGGGGGGTTGAGAAATGTGACGTCACATCAAAATGCGCAACTCTAATTGTTATAACAACACTCCTACAACATCAGAGTGCAGCGCGACATTAAATACGCATAACGTCATTTATGGACGGCCCCTAACACCAACACTATCCCTAACACTAACACTCGCCCTAACACTAGCGCTAACGCTAGACCCAACACGAGCATTAACAACGATGGCCTCATCTGCCAACTCTCTCCCCTGCTGTTGCCTCGACCGCTGTCCCGTCGCCACGTCCGCGCTGTGCTTCGTTGTTGTGCCGATGTTGTGCCGATGTTGTGTCGATGTTGTGTCGTTGTTGTGTCGTTGTTGTGCCGATGTTGTGTCGATGTTGTGTCGTTGTTGTGCCGATGTTGTGTCGTTGTTGTGCCGATGTTGTGTCGATGTTGTGTCGTTGTTGTGCCGCTGGTGCTGCGGCTCGCGCTGTGAGCGGTGTTGCCAATCGATGCCCGGAGTTGGGGGTCGCCGTGGTGGTGGGGCTGCAGGTGATGATGGTGCGGGGGGAGGAGGGGGCTGTGGGGTCCCCGTGTCTCGGGGTCTCGGGGGTCTGTCTTCAGGACCTTGCCCCCCCCCTCGCCTTATCCCCCCCACGCACACACCACCTCGCAGGGTTTCCGCGTGTCGGAGGTCCGCGCGCGGGGTCCCCCCCAGGGACCCCGCCCGGCCCCCACGTGCCGGGGATTAATCGTGTTTGTTCTGGAGACGCGAACTCAGGAAGACACGGCGCAATTACGCGCGTGGCGCGAGAGGCGGGTCCCCGGTGAGCGATCTGGGTCGAGGGGTCCCCGGTGAGCGACCTGGGTCGAGGTTGCCCGGTGAGCGACCTGGGTCGAGGTTGCCTGGTGAGGTCGAGCGGGCGCGAGCGGGTCCGAGGGGGTCACGAGTTCGCGGCTCCCGTTGTCGTTCGTCCCCGCGTCTCGCCGGTCCCGCGCCGGACAGCTGAAGGGGCTTTTCACTTGTTTATTGGGGTGTTCCTGCGTGTTTACCGGGAGAAGATTACAGAGTGGGGACGCCGGGGCCCCCGGGGGCTTCGGAGCAGAAAGCGGAGACGGCGGAGTGAGTGGGAGCAGGGAGGGAGAGGGGGAGATGCGCTAATTCGTTCTGTGTTCAGTGTTCAGTGTAAATCTGGCCACTTCAGCCCTCACTGCCTCACCACTCACTGCTTCACCACTCACCCCTCACTGCTGCACTCCTCACTACTTCACCTGTTCGTGGGGTGCAGCAGGAGGCGGAGAATAAGTGCTGACCCCGTGATCTCATGACCCCGATAATGACCTCCTTTAGTGGCGGGCGCTGTGTAAACACGCGCTGATAACATCATCGCCATTGCTCCGTCTCTCCCGGGCAGGGAGCGGCCTCCACACTCCTCACTCCGCACTCACTCAGCCACTCTCCCCACACCGCACTCACTCAGCCACTCTCCCCACTTCCCACACCTCACTCACTCAGCCACTCAGCCACTCTCCCCACACCGCACTCACTCAGCCACTCAACCACTCAGCCACTCTCCCCACTCCGCACTCACTCAGCCACTCTCCCCACTCCCCACACCTCACTCACTCAGCCACTCAGCCACACTCCCCACACCGCACTCACTCAGCCACTCAGCCACTCCCCACACCGCACTCACTCAGCCACTCAGCCACTCTCCCCACACCGCACTCACTCAGCCACTCAGCCACTCTCCCCACACCTCACTCACTCAGCCACTCTCCCCACTCCCCACACCGCACTCACTCAGCCACTCAGCCACTCTCCCCACACCACACTCACTCAGCCACTCAACCACTCAGCCACTCTCCCCACTCTGCACTCACTCAGCCACTCAGCCACTCTCCCCACACCTCACTCACTCAGCCACTCAGCCACACTCCCCACACCACACTCACTCAGCCACTCAGCCACTCCCCACACCGCACTCACTCAGCCACTCAGCCACTCTCCCCAGACCTCACTCACTCAGCCACTCTCCCCACTCCCCACACCGCCCTCACTCAGCCACTCAGCCACTCTCCCCACACCGCACTCACTCAGCCACTCTCCCCACTCCCCACACCGCACTCACTCAGCCACTCTCCCCACTCCCCACACCGCACTCACTCAGCCACTCAGCCACTCTCCCCACACCGCACTCACTCAGCCACTCAGCCACTCCGCACACCGCACTCACTCAGCCACTCAGCCACACTCTCCACTCTGCACTTACTCAGCCACTCAGCCACTCTCCCCACACCGCACTCACTCAGCCACTCTCCCCACACCGCACTCACTCAGCCACTCAGCCACTCTCCTCACTCTGGACTCACTCAGCCACTCTCCCCACACCGCACTCACTCAGCCACTCTCCTCACTCTGGACTCACTCAGCCACTCAGCCACTCCTCACACCACACTCACTCAGCCACTCAGCCACTCTCCTCACCTCACTCACTCAGCCACTCTCCTCACTCTGGACTCACTCAGCCACTCAGCCACACCGCACCACAGACTACACTCACTAAACCGCACTCCCACACAGCACTCTCCCTCATATTAGCCGTGACCAGGAATTTAACCCAGGTCGCCAGGTTCTTTACGTGGTGTTCAACCCACAGTGCTCATTACCATACGCACACACAAAGACAAAGGTCCCCCCTATAGCCTTAACGGACTCTTGGGGCAGGTGCTGTTAGCGAGTACCTATGAAGGCCAACACGGCACACGAGGTGGTGGGTGGCCAGCACCAGGCCCGGTCGTCTTTGTTTTCGGAGTGGCGATGTTTACACACCGTGCCAGGTACTCATTGTGGCTGAATCGACCTTGGGGAGGCCCTGGACCGGTTCAGATAATCGTCACTGGTGGTGGAATCAAACTTGGGTCGCCGGGTTCGTAGCGCAGCGTGCTAAATGCTACAATCACACTCCCCTATACACACAAAGACAAAGATCCCCCTATAGCCCTAACAGACTATACACACACACCAACACGCCCAATATAAACTCGACACACACACGCTGACCAAAAACTGCTCCCAGCTACGGTGGCATGGCCATCGTCGTCACGCCGATCAGTCTGCACCGCCAATGAGAGTCGACTACTCGATGCCCCCACGCTCATTTCCAGAGGGTACCACGTGATTCACTACAATTGGCCACGTAGAGCAATTGGACACCGCTGATGTGATACCACGTCAGGTGGCACCGGCAGTGAAATGTCTCGTAAATATCTTATCTGTCGATTTTTAAACAAAAACTGGGGTCTTCAGACAACATTTGTCAAAATGTGATTCACATCATCAGGGCTCCCCGATGGTGTAAACAAATGCGGTCTCCAACTCTTACGATCCAATTCGTCTCTCGTTTGGCCCCTCTTTTTGTGCGCTATGAAGAAGAAGGGCCATTGCCCGAAACGTCGCCTAATGTCTGTTGTTTTTTAAGGCCACGCACAAAGAGCATTGTTATTGACAAGGGACATGTTGAGCTGTTGTTGTTGGTTGTGCGCCACTGCCGCAGCAGCAGCACCAGGTATAATTCGTGTAACAGTGAAATTTCCGCACTTGGCTCACGGACGATCAGAGAACGTGGAGGCTGCCGCTGCTCCCACAGTCGCGCCAAGGCCACTTCGCCTCTCTCTCTCTTCTTTCCCGACACGATTGGCCACCGCTGCCACCGCCGCCGTTTTGAAAATCGCCACTTTGTTATGGAGATTAGGAGAGAAACGGACTCTCATCCAGCCCACCCTCCTGCCTCACCCCCCCTCCCCATGTGATCCTCCCAGCCCCCTTCCCTCCCACCCTCCCTCACCGCCCCACCCTGGCACCGATGGCCACTCATGAGAAACCACTCGCCGAAAACTTCCAGCGGCGGGCCCGGCGTGGGAATGGATGCCCCTTCACCACCCGCTGCCCTCCCATCACTTGCTGCCCCATTACTGCTGCCCCCTTCAGTGCTACTCCCGTCTCTTGCTGCTGCCACGGCCTTCCTTCATGTTTTCCAGCAACGCCGCCGCCACCGGGGTTGAGGGGACCCAGTTTGAGTGGTCAAGGTGACACAGGTTGAGTGACCAAGAGGACCCAGTTTGAGTGGTCAAGGGACC